GATTCTTACCTTTCAGTGAGTCGTCTTGATTGCCAGGTTCTTGTGCAGTTATTGACGTCAACCTGTTAGCTTCCAGACGGTGTCAAAGATACGTTGAGCAAATTGTCTCGTATATCAAAGACTGGCATGGCCGCGCTTCATACCCATTGTCGCCGGGAATTGTTTCATGCGTGCTGGGATATCTTGCTCGATGAAGAATTCCTTCACGCATATCGCCACGGTATCGTTCTGAAATGTTCTGATGGAGTACTGCGGAGAATTTTCCCCAGAATCTTCACATATTCAGCTGACTATCCCGAGAAGTGCATTCCTTTGCCTTACTTAAAATCGTTGACCATTCATGATTTTCCAGGGTTTTAATTGCGACAATAAAAGACATGGGCTTGTGTGCATGTCCTCGCTGTCTGACACCGAAAAGCTTGTTCGGTTCACTCGGCTTACTGCAAGACATGAAAAGTCGAATGACAAATCTCCGAGTGTACGCTATGTCGAAAGTTCTCCAGGCGCGTGAGTTTATCTATAAGGGCGGAAATACTGTAGATGGTTTAAAGGTTGAGCACACTCTCGGAGAGGGTTCCTGGATACCAACTATGGCAAGTGCAAGCAGTCCCGCGTAATATTCAATCAGCTGAAATCACCTACTCGTAGAATCAATTTGTCAACAAGCTTGGATCGTTCGGCTTAGACCCATTCCGCATGCTTGTCGTTGACTTCATGCATGAATGCGAATTGGGTACCTGGAAGGCTCTCTTCACACATCTTATCCGGCTACTTTATGCGCTTCCGGGAGGTAATCAGTTGGTTGCAACTCTCGATAGCAGGTATGTAGGGTTCGTATAGAGTACTTATATATACTAACACATCGACTGTCGATTTCACAATAGATTTCGCCAGGTCCCCACATTTGGGAATGGTGTAATCCGAAAATTCGCGAACAATACCTCCGAGATGAAACGGTTAGCCGCGCGTGATTTTGAAGACATCTTACAGGTTTGTTCATTTGGTTTTTATTCAGCTCGCTGACATGTTCTCCATCATCAGTGTTCTATTGCGGTCTTTGAAGGGCTATTCCCCGCCGAGCACGATGCAGTCGTGCAGTCTCTGTTGTACCGATTTGCACAATGGCATGCACTTGCCAAGCTCAGGATTCAGTCAGAGTCCACCTTGACTTTTCTCGACGAAACATTCAAGAGACTTTCCCAGAAATTGCGCAGTTTTCAGCGCGACACGTGTGCCGCCTTCAATACTATAGAGTTACCGAGAGAGAAAGCGGCTCGGCAACGCAGGATTGCTCAGCACTCCGAACTCAACACCACCTCTGCAGAATCAAGCCAACCCAGGGTAAAGAAATTCAATCTCGGCACCTACAAGTTCCACGCGATGGGCGATTATGTGAGAACTATTAGATTCTTCGGCACCACTGATTCGTTCACAACTCAGATGGTAAGTACCTGACGCATTTTACTGTTAGTGTGAATTCAAATCTGGGCAGGGGGAGCTTGCACATAGAGCTATCAAGGCCTTCTATCCGCTGACCAGCAAATTAGATACCCCAACACAGCTAGCTAAGCACGAGCGCAGGCGCCGTGTCCTTCAACGTGTGGCAGAAGCAGGAGGCATATTCTCTGCTGATAGTCAATCGTCCATTGATGCCTCCTCCTCGATATCCTCTGATCAGCATCACCATATCGCCAACAATCGGAGCAACCCGGTCGATATATTTGCATTCCTTCGAGAACACCATGATGATCCGGCCGTCAAGGTAGAAGTAACATCGAAATATGTGCACACCTTACACGTTTCTCATGATTTTCATTAGAACTTTGTACCCAAACTCAAGGATCACATCCTTTTCCGGCTGCGGAAACTAGATATTAGCTATTGTGATCACACGTTCACAAATGAAGAACGCAACACGGTCATCATTCCAAACCACACAATCTACTCACTCCAGACGATGCAGGTACATTATACCACGTATGACCTCAGGCACGAATACGATACTGTCAACCCTAGAACGCATGCTGATGTCATGGTGCTGTCGGGGGAGACAACGCCCAGTCACCCATACTGGTATGCCCGCGTACTGGGTATATACCACGTAGAAACATGGCTCACCGATGTAAGTCAACCTGTCAAGCAACACCTCAACGTTCTCTGGGTCAGGTGGTTAGCACCACCGCAGAACCATGAATCCGGCTTGAACCGAGCTCGTCTTCCCAAAGTTGCATTTGTGGAGGAATCGGACTCGGACGCATTCGGATTTCTCGATCCGTCACAGGTGATTCGAGGAGCTCACCTGATTCCCGCCTTTGCATCGGAACGTGGAACAAGCGCGCTTCGCTACGGGAAATCATTAGCGCGTCCTGAGGGAGAGCTGGATGATTGGGAGGAACATTACGTGGGGATGTGAGCATGTATATTACTTCCTCCTGTGATTTGAATTAACCTGGACATTTGGGTCAGATTTGTTGATCGCGATATGTTTATGCGATATACCCACTTTGGTATTGGGACATCCAGTAATGATTCGCAGGATAACTAGAGATTGCCTTAGCTCAGAGCCACCAGCTGGCACCATGGATATAGACGATGAGGGGATTAGTGATGGTGAAGGTCTCGAAGAATTTGATGATGAACAGGAGGAGAGTGATCATGCATTTAGCGACGAGGAGTTGGGGGATGGAAATGAAGGAAGTGATGATGATGAGTTTGACGACCTTTCTTTCTGAATTTTTAAATTTCTTAATAAGTTTCACCGAGTTCATACGAAATGCGATCTATTGACTGGTCACCGTTATTATATTATCATATTAACTTCAAATGTGAGCGTCTGGACATTTGACGAGCTGTCACTCCCTTTAGGGCAAGACACGTGTACTAATGTTTACACATATTTTGCACGGTGCTTCGCCGTCACATTCAGTGCGCATAGGCTGGTTATCTCCAGTCATGACTGAAGCTCGTTCTGAATCTGTGGTTGGGGATGATTTGAATTTGTGAGTTCTTCATTGTGCTTAATGAACTTTTCACTTACATGTCCAGGGCTCCGATCAGCAACTCTCGTAGCCGTTTGAAAGGCAAGAGAAAATGCTAGTAACTCTGTCAAACATCACGTTGCATCCTTTCTAACCAAACTGTTCAGAGGAAAGCCTCAATCTAAGTGCAGGAAGCTCAGAAGGACTAAGCATCTGGTAAACCAGCTATCCACGATAAGATCATAATGGATCATATTAGATGCCAGCCACGGTGGCAGGAGTCGGATATTAGCGCCCGTGAGTTCACTACAGCATGCTTGTTATCACTTCTTTCAGACTTACGAAGATGTCTCTATCCCAGGAAACCCTGTTTCCGACCAAAAGCAAAAACAATGAGTTGGCTGTTACAGCGCTCGACAGTGCGATCGCTAACCACGGGGATAACAACAACGGTATTCATTTTCTCATATTTTTCATTCCATGACTCATGGAGGACACAGCCATGGTCCTCACAGTCTAGTCCACTTGGAACCAGCGTCTTCTACATCTAGCGTATTTCAGCAAGCTTACAGCCAGCATCTGCATGCCGGCTCGTCCAACTTGAACTTGGCCCAGAGCGCCCCGCAGGGACCAGCTTTTCTCCCAACCTCCCTTTATCCGACCCCTTCTAACCCGAGCACAAGTCAAGTGGCTTCTGCCTATGGCTATCGTGATTCACATCCTGCAGCTGGTAACTGTAACCCTCAGCCTTGCTACTCGCGGCAGGATCGGGTGGCAACGAGCAACTCGGATCTAAAGGGAATCATCAAACAGGTTCATAAGGACTCCCAGGGCAAGAGTTGTGCTCGGGGGTTGGTGGCTGGAGCTTATAATCTACCCATTCAAATTTTGTTCAAGAACACGAACAATATTGCACAATCGCGCAGAATCGAAGCGTCAGTATTGCTGTCGAGTTATGATTTTCTTGATACCATCGTTTAGGTACGCATATAGCATCTCAACATTACTCTGCTCATATTTAATCTTCACTTCAGCGGATCAGGAATGATGGGCAACTCCAGTCATTGACGCGTGCGGCAGACTGCTCTGCCCGCTGAGTTAGACTGAAACAACCTAACGTAAGTATCTCACTTAGGATCTTACGCGATACTGACTATCCGCCAGTGTCAGTCCAAGATTTAGCATTCCCGTATAAACAATACACGGCAGATCAAAACGATCTGGAGAAGGACCTATCCAAAGCACTCTTTTGCTTCAGGTCAGTCATTCCGGAGTAGCTCAACAAATTTCTCATTTTTGGAGGCCTTTAAAGCCGTATTCACATTTTGGAAAGAAAGTCAAGACACGTGACGCAAATCATCAAGATACAGTCACACCGCGTTCGTTCGCTTATGTATCATGTCAGGTAAGTAGTAATAACTTCTAATTGATTTGCGGAGTGATAATATGACACAAGTTGTGATTTGTTCTGTCCACATACTACAGCTACCTGCTGCCAGTGGGTAGAAAGTGAGGCTTCGCCGCTCTCTGATATACGAGACAATTTGCTCAACATGTCTTTGACATTGTCTGTCGTACTGCAAGTGATTCCTACGTATTGCTGGTTGATCTTCACATGAATATTGTATCAGACAGGTTCATGTATTTAATCTCAATAATGCATCATCGGACCTAGGACCCCGAGTGGGCACATCAAACGGTTTGGCGGGAGCTCATACTCTAACTAGTCAAATCCACAGACGTTCGTTACAGTGTTACGTCAGGTATTCGAAGACGTGACGTTGATACCACCAATATCTCCCGACACAGTCGCATCGCTATGCTATACTTCAGTATGTGGCTTTCGTATTCCATTTTGAGCATCACCAACCATGGATTTTCAGGGCACTGCCAGCCAACCCAAAGGTATGGAACATCCCTTCTCTGTCCCTCTGACACTTGCTCATCAGATATGGTACTTACTCACGGGGATCCTTGCATCATCCGCATATTCCAACATGTTTGGTATGGAATATCCTTCAAATGGCAGCGTTCTCTCTTACTTACCTTTGGCTCATATTTATGAGGTTTGTTTGACCTCGCTCACCTCGTCTTCTATGCTGACTTCCTTGCAGCGTGTGGTCGAACTCGCAACCTTGGCCATCGGTGGATGTCGAGTTTTCCACTGGCGATAACTTGCGTCTCCTGGAAGATGCGCAGATGTTAAAGCCTCACTTTTTCCCAGCTATACCTCGCCCAGATGCCTTCCAGCCAAACATGTCATTTGCCTTTGACTTTTTACACGTCGCTTCATACCGTAGACCAGGTGTCACACCAACAATCTTTTACCTTTGATGCGACATTATCGAAACTCATAGGATTTTGCCGTTTAGGCGTCGATCACCCAGATCACATAGTCGGCCCAGACTATCCCGTCCTCAGGAAAAAAAACTCGAGCAGATGAACATATTCCCGTTGCTCTCAACCCCTTTAGGTCCTTGTACTCGAGGTGCTGGCAGTGTCAATGATCGTATCTGGAACCTCCCTCCTAACCCCGAAAAACCATCCCGCCCCCGCCCGAACGTACTAAGAGTATTGAATCGAGTCCATCAGTCTGCCATGGCTGCTGGAAATGTCCCTGGACTGAAGGGCGCTCTCTTCCGGGCAGCTGTGCGGCAAAAACTTGACCAGTATCATGCCACAGGTGTCAGTACTTACCCATTCTGGGACGCCCTTGTCTTCCGGAAGGTATGTTCTCATTGACCCTCTTACGTTCCTAGTTACAACTTGATATATCAATCAAAGGTTCGTGCTGTGTTCGGCGGAAACTTGCTCCTTGTTAGCAAGGGCTCTCCACCTATCAGTGCCGAGGTTATTTACATTTTGAAGATCGCACTCTTCTGCGAAATTATGGAAGGTACGGTCACTTGTTTTCGATTGTTAATCACATCTGACAGACGGGTCAGGTTACGGAATGACTAAGAACTGTGGTGTCTGTACACATACGTTCAAGGCAGACCGTAATTGTGGAAGAACCATTGGTCTTCCTTATCTTGTGAATGTATTGAATTGGTGGACGTGTCTTCCATGAACTACACAGTCGAGGACAAGCCCAATTCTCGAGGCGAACTTTGTGTCCGTGGCTATCTTGTTCGCCATGGCAAAGTGACATGATGGGTCAGACCGTGATTATGAGGGCACGTTTTGTAAGATAACACCCGAGAACCATTGACGTGGCGATCATTAGTTGCATCCCCTTTCGACTTGCCCTCGGTATCAGATGTCCGTGTCAGGGTCATTCATTGACCGAGCGGACAAGGGTACTCGCAACATCACATTTTCACATCTCGCAGCGCTGAACACTATCAAATTATCAAATTATTGAAGATGTCTAATCCCAATTCAACTTCAGTGAGCCTAAGGCAAGCATCAGAGGTGACCATTTCACGCGCACGTGTCCTTGAGTCCCCCCCACTCACAGCCTAGTCGTAGAACTCCAACGCACAAGTATCGAAGATATCGAGGTGGCGCCCAAACTTCAAGGTAGCGATCTTCCCGACCCATACAGGATCCGGGTCGGTCTCAAGACAGACGATGAGCTCTCACAGCTTCGTCGTCGTCGTAGGACTGGTAAACGACTCGAGAAATTTCATAGAAAGCAGAATGACGTGAGTTTTTCTCTTATATTGTATTGTTTCTATTCCGTGCTAAAGGGTAAATGATTAGCTCATTCAATCATTGCTGAAGCCTATGGAAGAACATACACAAGAGGCGAGAGAAGATGAAGCGAATTTCCCTTTTTCTGTAAGGAAGTGCTGCGGAGCTGCCCATCTCCGCTAAATTAATCACGCATTCAGGTCAGGGTTGCAGTCTGGGCAAGTCTCTGTGCCAACTTCATTCTCTGTGTACTTCAGCGTACGTCTTTGCAATATGTCCATCTTTCTTTCGCTAATTATTTCACACTAGTATATGCTGCTGTGTCGTTCGTCTCCTTATCCCTCATCGCAACAGGGATTGATGCTACTTTCGATTTTGGAAGTAATATCTTTCTATACTGGACTCACAAGAAAGCACTGTCAATGGATATTAACAAATGGCCTGTTGGTGGCTCCCGACTTGAAACCATTGGAAATGTGGTTTACGGTGATTCATTCGTTCACTCGGCGGGAAATCATCTCATTTTCTTTCAGGTTCAATGTTCGTCCAGCTATCAAGTCCTTGAACCTGATTGACATTCTTGCAGCATGGCTTCGGTCAATTTGGTTGTTATCGTTGAATCCGTCCGCGCACTCATGGCTCAAGAAAAAGACAACGGTTTTCGCATCCAGGCAATCATCGCAGTGGCAGCTGCGCTTGGTATGTAGCCTGTACTGGAGCCCTTTGCAATCATTTAATAAAATCTCAAATCAAACAGCGGTCCATTCGTTCTTTTCTTATATTGTTTGGCCCTCAGATCAAAGTCTAGCCAAGTGCAGGTCTTATGGGAGGATCATCGAAATGATCTTTTCATTAATGGATTCGGTAAGACGACTCGCCTTCAAGCAATTCGGTACCCTGAAGCGATCATACTCCCCAGGTATTCTGATGTCTGCTGGAGGAAGTAGATCACGATGGTGTTCGTGACCTCGACCCTTGCATTTCTTGTGAACTTACATATTCAACAGGGCTGGATTCTGCTGGCGCTGTCATTGTGCGCTTCATTCGTGTACCCCCATGAACTTTCCGCTCATGTGATCGCTACAGATTGGCGCTGGAGTCATACTATGTACGAACAATTTGGATTCTTGGCTGGGAAGTCTGCGCCACACGACTTCCTGCAGCTCATCATCCACAAAGCTATGACCTTCAGCGATGAGATTGAGAAAATTGATACTGTACGGGCGTACCACGTAAGTGTTCAATCCCATTGCGTATGGTTGCATATTGACTTGATCCAATGACGCAGAGCGGACCTGTGCGTGCCATTGGTCTGATTAACTTATGTATTGTGTTTGCTGACAGTTTTAACTAGGACTACATCGTCGAGGTGGATATCGTCATGGATGCTACTACCCCGTTGTGGAAGGCACACGATATTAGCCAGCAGCTGCAGGATAAGATCGAGGTGCTTCCGAATGTCGAGCGTGCCTTTGTGCACGTCGATCATGAGACGACTCATGCCCCTGTAAGTAACATCTAATCACATCATTTTCAACCACTCAATTGCTTGTATTTAATAGGGCCACGCGTCAGTTCTAGCGATGGATTGGTATGGCAACGAGACACTCCACAATGCCCCACTCACCAATATGACGATCGACGGCAAGCCTGTTGCGGCCGTGCAGAACGTCGACAACTTCTCTTTTGCGTGAGTCATTTTTCATCTCAGCTTGTTAACAAGAGATATACCTCATCGTTTTACGTTTTAGACGAGTGTATGGTGCTGGACACGAAGTGGTCAGTCAACTCTCTTGAGGGTGATAATATCTGCTGATGCCTGTTATGTTATTGGTAGGCTGCCTTCCAGCCCCAAGCAGCTTTGGAGATTTTCTCGCAGGTTGTTCGCAAGGAGCAACTTCATTCTGTCTGAGTGAATTTGGGAGAACACATCGTAATCTGGTTGGACGTTTTTTGACGTGTTTGAACAGTGGGCAAACGTTCCTTCTGACACCTTTGCACAGGCAGTTGCACCTTCTATGGTGGACCGCAGACAAGGACTTATCGTCAACATTGGATCACTTGCGGGAAACATGTGAGCTCGGTGCAATGATGCAATCTTTTAGCTGACCTTGTCTCACTCTGAATAGCGCTACCCCATGGAATGGATTATACTCTGCAGCCAAGGCGGCAGTTCACGCACTCAGTGACGTTTTGGCTATGGAATGCAAACCCTTCGGTGTTAAAGTCATGTTGGTAACACCAGGTCAAGTCAGGACAAATATCAGTGCTAACCAGGCAGCCACCTTGGAATTATTCCCCACGTCCATCTACAAACCTTACTTCGATCGGGTGTATGAACGCCTGGATGGTACAAGCCAAGGGGAGCATGAATTCTTTGCACACTATGCGGTTGCAGAAGTACTGAATCCAGACCCTCCAAGTTGTATATTGCTTGGAGTCAAGTCAGATCTTTTCGAATTCCTCTGCTGGTTCCCTCGTTAGCTTGTCCCCTGGATTTTGAGATCGCGGATGGTGTGGAAGAAGACAGTATCACAAGCGTACCTCGCTCCCGTGTCACTCAGAAACGCGAAATTTGTGAGTTCTCATTCTTGCATTCATTACCACAATTGAAGTTCCTAATCATCATGGTTCGCTTTTACAACCAATCCAGCTCATTCGGTTCCTTCGTTGAGAATCAAGCGTTCCATCAACCATGCCCTCGTTCTTGAACAAGGTCTTTGGCCGAAGGACAAGCAACGACAGGATTCAAGCAAGTCATTTTCAGGACTCTAACGACAATAGAACTTTACCAGACGGAAAATACGAGGCTGTTTCTCCTTTGAACTTCACCGCTCCCGCTCTTACCACCTTGTCAAAGGCTCAGACGGCTAAAGATCATGCTGGATTCTCGTTGTTTCGGCCTAAATCTCGGTATACTCCCCCTAACTCTTCGTACAAACGCACGGAGAATCTTCGTGACGCTGATCGCATGTTTTTACGTGCCAAGTCATGAAAATCGTTGATAACATTCGAACTAACCGTTGCACAGCCTCTTCTCTACGACGTTCCCAAAACAAATGGATTCTCGCAACCGAAACCTCTAATCCGCCCGCCCTCCTACAAACCTAAACACCTTCGACAACTTCGACACGATGCGAGACCTTCGCGCTTCCCTCTCCCTTTTTTTCTGCCTTTTTTTCTCCTTTTTCATCTCTCTTTTCCTCGCCTTCTCGCTCTCCTTCTCCCTTTTCCTCTCGCTCTCCTTCTCCTTCTCGCTCTCCCTCTCCCGCTTCCTCACTTTTTCGCTCTCCCTCGCCCTCTCTCTCTCATTCTCCCTCATCTCTCTCGCAATCCTCCTACCACGATCAATAGAACAACAACGCTAATCTACTACTCAGAGCTGCGCACACAATCGGATATTGCAACTTACATCTTTCTGAGGTCCCATCGTGCAAAGTAAGTGTTTGCGATTGTGATTTAGCGTCGAGATGCTGATTTAGCGTATAGATGCTGATTTAGCGTATAGATGCTGATTTAGCGTACGATGCTGTGCGATGTAGATGACGGCGCCGACTCTTTCCTTTTTCGGCCAGGACCCTCACACTCCAAAGTCTAGAATCGTATCCCGGACCGGAAAACAGGTAAGCCTCTTACTCGTTTTCAGCTCATCCCCGACCAGCAGACTTTTACTTCGCATCTTCGATCAGTACCGTTGCAACTTGGCAAGGACCAGACCCAATCCCAGAAGCCATTCGGACGATCCCTCTGTCGCTCAGGGCCTGATGTCGATGAGTCAGTTTCGTGGCTCCCAGTGGACTATGCAGCAAAGGCTATCATCGATCTGGTCAAGATTCCCTCTCAACGCTTACCCTTGGGTGAGTGCCCTGTTTGGAACGTGATTCACCCAAAGCTTATGCCGTGGACGTCCGTCCTCTCGTATCTCGAACACGCCGGCCTGAAATTTCAAGCCCTCCCGAGGTACAAGTGCGCGCTAGCCTTATTGACGAAGTGAATAACCCGAGCCGGAAGCTGTTGACTTTTTTTGAGAACAAATACGGACAAGAGGAACTGGCTACGCGGTACCCATTATTGACAGTGCAAACTGAGAAAGCAAGTAAGAGTCTCAGAAGTGCACATATCGCTGATGATGGACTGGTGGGGAAGTGGGTAGCTGCTTGGAGAGAGACAAGTTTGTTGGCTTGAGAGCGGATACCACGAGTCATCAGTCGTAGTCTACGCCTTGTTTGCTAAGATCAAAACATGATTATATTCATCTACAGGGTCTCGCGACTATGATGACACGTACCCCATCAATTCACTGATGGTAACAATGACACAATACGAGACCTGGCCCGACTATTGAGAATGCTTGGAACTTTGTTCGCCATTGCCAAAGACACTTTCCATCGAAAAGCTTTATATAGTGTTGCAGTATGGTAGCAATATTACGCAACTTATATAGTCATCTTTTGCCAGGTAATGCAAAACCCAAATGACGGAAAACGCGGATGCTTAACGACTCAGACACAATTGCCCACCATTCACTTTTAGGCTGTAACGGTGCGATGTCAGAACATTGTTGTGACCTCAAATGATGATATATATTTGATGACCAGTGCTAGTGCTACTTTTCATGATAAAGTCATGAATAGTTTTATTATTGAAAAATTATATTACAACTATAAGCATGTTTAAAAACTTGGACACAAGGACGCTACAATACTTTGCTGGTCGCAATGTCGCAACGTCGCAATGTCGTTACTAACCCCTCATTGTAGTCTGAATGAGCGTTCATACATGTATATATATCCACAAGTCAAATTTATCAGCGTATAGATAACTATTTTTGGCGGAAGCAGGATTATATATTTCTATAACTATCATGGTTACAATATCGTGAACTCATGAATTCACTGATGACAGTCTGACAGAAAACAAGGTACCATAGTGCAGTACACTGAAAGAAACAATGTAGTAGTAGCTATATAGTGATGTCAGAAGAAATCCTGGGACGAAGCCAGACTAAACGAGCACGATAGAGCTAGAAAAAGACGGAATGTGAGCAAGGTCCACGTCGGCAACGCCGACCCCTAGTATGCCAAAAATATTGTGACAGTAAATGTGTGACTCATCATATTTGTCACCACCATAAAAATGTTGTCTGCAAGCTCTTACAAGTATTGGATCTACAGTTGGACTCCAACCTCGAGTTCTCTGCTCTTGAGCGGCAGTAGTCTGACGAGACTGTATCTTGGCATCTGCTTTCTGGATCAGATAAGATTTATCTATTTTGTAGTGTATAGCATCTATAACCTAAAAAAGAGTACTACGTTTTGATCAATAGCCATGAACGAGTGAATTCAAGGCAGCGCCTGATGGAATCTGAAATTCATCGGTCCCACTGCTAATCATCTTGCCGCCCTTCCTCGATAGCCGCCCTTGCGCACGGACGACATCTTGCATCCGTTGCTCTGCGTCGCCGACATCATGCTTCGTAGGTTTAGTAGGACGCGAGCCACGACCTTTGGATGCACTAGATATTTTATTTTTTCCGTCAGTAATCGTCTTCGGCGCTTCACGCAGCGCAAATGCTTTTGCCAGGTGACCGATGTGAAGATGCCGAACGTGGAAGATATGCTTCTCGTTCGAGGGATGGGTCGCATATGCTCTCATATGCGAAGTAAATGCTCTCCGAGCAAGTTCAGCGTTCTACAAAAAGGTGTCAACGCATGCTCAACTTCACTCCAAATCGGAATTACCTCTTTACGCCGCAAAATCCACCGCTCGAAAGAAAGTTGCACATCTGTCGCGCGCGCCTCGTACTCGGAGCCTTTTCCACCAAAGCCCTTCGCCAAAACGTTTTCGATGCTTGTTCCTTCGAGAGTGATGTTGACTTTGTCGCTGTCGGAGTTTTCTCCCGTTATATCGCCCTTCATCTTCCCTCCCACCCATTTAACCCATTCAGATTCGCTGGGTGCGACGATGCTCCAAGCTTCACCGCCCTTTCCTGCACGTGCTGTCCGTCCCACTCTGTGCACATACTCGGTCGCACCGCCTTCAGTTGGCAGGTCGTATTGTATGACTGCGCGGACGAGGGGTAGGTCGAGACCACGGGATGCCACGGACGTGCAGAGGAGAATGGACGACGCGGGTGCTGGTTTTTTGGACTTTGAGGAAGGAATGGCTGAGAATCCACGTAGAGAGGCGAGACGGATTGGTGTGGGAAGGGAACCGTGAAGTCGGAAGATTGAGGCACCTGGAAGGAGCGGAGACTGTGCAGCAATTTTATTTTCTTCCTCCACTTTCTCCTCTTCGACAGATTCATCTGCCTTGCTATCTGCCCCGTCTTCGTCGGACTCTGCATGTTCAGCCTTCTCACCGTCCATCGACGAATCGCCTAGCAAGCGCCAATGAAAGTCGACGGAATCTGTGCAGCTGAGGAATACGATGATTTTCGAACCTTTTTGACTTTGTGTCTGAGCGAGCAATGAGCGGAGAAGTGCGACCAGTGCGACAAGACGCATCTTGAGGGGAACGATGACGTATTTTTGAGAGAGTTGTGATGGGGGAGTGAATTTCTCGGTGCTGGTGGTACCTGGCTCGTTGTCGTTTTTTGATGCAGGCGAATCCTCCGCCTTCTCTTTGTCGAGGCCCTTGATTATCAACGGTCGTCTTAGAGTAGTGCCTGCCAATTTCTGCACGTCTTCACGGATGGTAGCCGAACAGAGTATTGTCCGTCTCTCCCGGTCCCAGTCCCAACCCCCAACCTCAAATGTCTTACCGTCCTGAACAGCTTGGAACGCGAGTTTCCTCCTCCCATCCAGACCCTGCACGATCCCTTTGATGGTATCTTCAAACCCAAGCTCCATCAAGCGGTCCGCTTCATCGAGAACTAACCATCGGCACTTTCCAACGTTGAACGAAGACGTATTTTGCAGGTGGTCTAGTAGGCGACCTGGAGTCGAGACAAGGATGGGCACACCTTTCCGTAGACGCGCCTTCTCGTGCGCACGAGTTGCGCCTCCACTTAGCAAACCAGAGACTAACCACCGGGTATAACGTGTAGAACTCTCCGTATTCTCCTGTTCGCCGTCTGGGCGTAGCCTAAGTGTCAATAACGCCTCCAAGACGTCGGATATTTGTTTCGCAAGTTCACGAGTGGGTGCGATGATAATTGCGAGCGTCCCTATCGAGCGGTCGATGTAAGAGTGTGTACTTAGGGGGAGAAGATCCTGGATTATGGGTAGGAGGAATGCCATGGTCTTTCCGGAGCCAGTTTGCGATTGTATAAAAACATCGCGTGCATCCGTGTCCTCGGAAGAAGGTTTCGTGAATATAGGAAGGGCAGCACGTTGAATGGATGTCGGTTTCGTGATACTCATCTTGGATTGTAGGTGAGCGACAAGGAGAGGATGAAGACCCAGGTCCGCGAATGTGGCTGAGCCGGTCAGTGGTGCATTGCTCGGTTTAGAAGGTGCTTTTTGGACAGCGGAGGGTATGGGGGCCTCAACTTGAGGGTTGTACGAGAATAGAGACGAGATTATCTGAGTCGGAGGCCTAGCTGGAAGTGCCGGACGGTCCGTTGCGGGGGCTTTGGTAGCAGGCGGGGGGATGTCAGGTCGCATCCGCTTTGCGGGACGAGGATGGTCATCATCATCGCTGCCAGGATGATGGTCAGGCTGGTCGGTCCTGCGTTTCTGGACTCGTTTAGCCTTCAACCTAGGCTATGATGATTAGCTGCATACATGAAATCAAACTTCAGCTCACCTGTCCGTCCAGCGACCAGATTTTTTTGATACTAGCTTTTTTGGTCCTACAGATGCATCCTCTGCGATGTTGAGGACAAGTTCATCGTCCATTTCCCCCTGCGGCGCTGATATCAATTATTGTATAAATCTCAGTCTTGATCGTTAGAACGGCGGGTTAAACAAAAATGGAATATTGTTCCCACATCTGATAACCTTTCTCAAGTCAAATTAGTCTGGACACGTCTTCCTTCACACCTTTACTACTTCGTTGCACAATGTTCGGTCGTGCTTCTCTTGCGCTCGTTTTAATTTCTATAGCCGCATTTTTCTGTGCGCAATCTGCGGATGCTGCCAAGGGCCCCAAAATCACCCATAAGGTCTACTTCGATATCAGGCATGGTGACAAGGACATAGGTCGAGGTTTGTGTTATGTTGAGACCGCCGTGTGACATACATCTGACGGGGCTCGAATGTTAAACAGTTGTCATTGGTCTTTACGGCGGAGTACGTTGCCTTACCTATTCTGGCAGATATGTGGTTGACTCATCTCCTCGCAGACCGTTCCAAAGACAGTCGAGAACTTCCGCGCACTTGCAACTGGTGTTGGCAAGGATGGTCAGGAGCTTGGCTACGGTTACAAGGGCTCCAAGTTCCACCGTGTTATCAAGAACTTCATGTGAGTTTCTTGTCCGTTGTTTTGTGGACATTCACCTGATATCCTCTTGTCAGGATCCAAGGCGGTGACTTCAGTATGTGTACCATCATTATCTCATGTGTTCTGAAGCCAACTTGATGTAATCTCACTAGCTCGTGGCGATGGCACCGGTGGAAAGGTAATTTGGGACCCGTCTCAGCATGAGCGTCGCTTACGGAGGTCCTACAGTCTATTTACGGCGACCGTTTTAAGGATGAGAACTTGTAAGGTTTCGTGATCATACTCATGTCTTCGACCCTGACGTCTGCTTCAGCAAGCTCAAGCATGCCGGACCCGGCACTCTTTCCATGGCTAATGCAGGCAAGGACACTAACGGTAGGCATGTTTTCTCCCATCATTCATGTCATCTAACATAGTGCTCTAGGATCTCAATTCGTAAGCTTGTGATTGCTCTCAACGAGCTTTACTGAGTGGTTTTCCAGTTTATTTGCACTGTAGTCACCAGCTGGTTGGACGGTAAACATGTGAGTTTGGCGTCAGTTTTATCACCGCATTGTTTGAGCTCTGTCAAAACAGGTGGTCTTCGGAAAAGTCTTGGAGGGAATGGACATTGTATACGCTATTGGTTTGCATTATTTATTACCTTTAGACTCACCAAAGTTCTCACTTCTACTCAAGAGGACGTTCCCAAGGGCAGCAATGATCGTCCATTGGAGGACGTCACCATCTACGACTCTGGAGAGGTTTGTTATTATACCTGTGTGATGTGCAGCGTATTCATCCCACGTTTCTAGCTGCCAGTTGAGCCAGTGGTGGATGAGACAGGAAATCAGGTACCCTTACGCGCTGAGCTATGATTCAGCTGTCTCTGTGTCACTTGAGCTCTTGATGCGAATAAAATGTTGTTGCTTGCCAACAGGACATCGCCACTGTACCCGTGAATTCCGTAACTTCGTCAGCCGATGCTGAATTGCCCGCCTCTACACCCGCCTCACCAGCATCTAACGAGAAGACAAGCCCTGTGGAGTCTACTCCCTCTTCAGTTGTGGATGCCACTCCTGAGGTTGTGGAGGATGTTTCTGGGTCGTCGGAGCGTCTGAAGTACGCTGCCATCTTATTTGTGGTAGTCGTGGTTGGAGTGGGGATGTTTGTTTGGTGTGGTGACAGACTCGGTCGTTTGAAAGGCCTTTTTCAACGTGCAGATCGTACACATTACAAACGTGTCGGGGACGAGGATTTGGAGAAGTAAGTGCAGTTGATGTTGACGTTTCGAGTTGGCGGAACATACCAGGTCATGAAACTTGTGCAATGTACCATAGATATATCTTGCTTGACTAACATAACTAGTGCTGTCGTTCCTTCGCAAGTCCGTTGTAGAGACTTCTTTCTCCCGAGGTGGCATGACTCAATGTTCGAACGTCCTTTCCTTCAAGTTTCCTCTTCGTATACCTGCCGTTGCGCCTAGGCTACTTCAATAGCATAGCAAATACTATGTGCATTGGTTATTTTACATGGGTATGGTGCAGATTTTATATGCGTCTCCGTGTGTTCACTGACAAGTGTCTTCGTGAAATCCAGCTCCTAATATAAAAATAGGCAGGCCTATTGTCCTAGTCAATCAAGCAAGCATTCCACGAAATAATCAAAAGTGAAGCCAAAACAATCACTCGTCCCTCGCCTCGTTATCACATTCGATTCTATAATCCGCACTATCGGTGGTGCAATACACTGCTACGTTTGTCACAAAAAGCTGTGACAGCCGGCCACGGAGTAATAACCCGCCCGATACTTCCGGGACGAATGCGAGTCAAGTAGTGCGATCAAAGGATAGCTGCCTATCTTCAACCTGAGGAGAATTTCCTAGGTAGCCAGCACATGTATCGCGATCGCCGAGTGAAGGTTCCGACGTCTGTCCGTTGACTTGCCATGGCGTCAAGTAGGAACACAAGCTGTGCATGTGTGGCCCACCCCTCGAAGATACTTACAGGCCTTGTAAGTAGCATGGAAGAGCACACATACGCCGACGTCGCGAGCGTAATGAGTCAGTGCTTCCTACCAAAAATATAGCGGTGTAGTATGATATTCGCTTGGCAGTCACTGGCACTTCGAAAGCATGTTATTAAATTTGAAAGTTCTAAAAGCTTCTGAGCTAAATGCAAATAGATTGAACATATGTTCAACCGCCGATCTTTAGGTGTGGAAGAAAGAGCTCGGACGTCGGCGAGGTGAGTCCGAGAGAGATGTTGAATGCCAGACATTGAAAATGACCGGGACCTTTGACGCGCCCATCTCGACTGCTACAGCCGCTACTAGTATATGCAGACTTTGGCAATGAACGTTTGAAACACTAAGCTCCGAATGACGCAGCACAAATTTGGAAATTGAGATCACTCGGATCCTCACGTCTTTTCAAGTTACACAGTATCGAGTGTTCAAGTTAATTCAAAAGCGCTTTATTGCCCATGAAGCAGGGCATACTACTACTCCAGGAACAACAACCACATCCACCAAGTCAGCAACGAGCTACATATTGTGCTGTCAGCCACAACACCAATCAGCAAGCGGAAACACGACTCACTCTCCAGATGTGCTCATGAACAGACTGCCAGCTCGTCGATGAGCAGCCTAGTAATTGCAAAACTTGGAATGACCTTGAGGCTATTAACATTGCAAGGTGCATAGGGTGAGCAATGGGGTTGAATCATTGATGCAAAGCAAACCACTCATACTCACCGGATGTAAATTATACTTAAAGTCACCGCAGCAATCACTGTCAGTATCGCAGGTCCCAAATTGGGGACTGCATCTGGCAGTGACAGTCATACATGCTGCCAAAGCACTGGTAATGACGGCGACGAAGGACAAATGCATGATTTATGCGAAGTTATAAAAGCTTTGCAAGAGGGACTCTGAATTACTGAGGTGGACAGTGCTTACCTTTATATCCTGAAAATAGGGTTATGAGCAAAACTTGTAAGTTGGTTTGACAGATCGGTTATGGCAGAACTTCACGGCAAAAGATTTAGAAGAACCTAACGGAGTCCCAGAATGAACGGATAAACAATCCAGAATTCAAACATATTGAACTTAAGAAATACAACCCAAGCGACGGAATTGGCAAGGCTCTTTCGTGACTACTACGCCGGAAGGCCCAGAAAGGTCAGATTTTCAGATAGTAACTCGGAAGGTTGCTACAAAATCGAATGAGTAGCGACAGAATGAAGCTGAAGGAACATTATTCAGTGTCTCCCATACATTCTCATTCTAAAGATCACGGCAGAAATGGTTAACAAGAATTTCATATCCACCGCTATCCGGGCATATGGGAGATCCCCGTTGTCACGGTATAAGCACGAGCCCAAGACCCTTGCCCCTTTTCGTGCGGCCTGGATTGTTGTAAAACACTTTTGCGAACGCTGAACAGATCAATCGATTCAATGGGACTGTTTTGTTGTATCAACAAAAAGTCACCTGTTTTGAGGCTTTCTAATACGAGCTCCATGATTCGGACGTTGTTATCTTGTTTCGCCTAGTTTCCGCATGCGTTAACTTTGCTATCGTGGGCGGCTTGCCTCTGGGCGCCATGTCGCCAAATATACGGGTGCGCTAACCTGTGAATAACATCTGCATCCGACCACTCCTCATCATGTCTACAGTACTCATCTTCTGCGGGAGCTTTTGACTATAACGGCCTTCTGACATTTTGCCCAGGTGTTGCAGATGTTTGTACTGGAACCGCGTCTGATCCTCAGTGTTCGAGAATATAATGCTAAGATTATCGTGGTCAAGTCTGACAAGAGAACATGTGTGACATCCATTGCTTTCCAGGGTGGTGAAGTTCACTGACGGAGACACGTCGACTGGTGGATAGCCTATGCATAGCACGTAAAGCGATCCAAACCAGTCACAGTACTGTGTGGGGAGCACGCAGATCAATAATTTTGTTGAGTTGGTGTTCCGAAGTGATCTGGAAAATAGGATTTGGCCAGGACATGATAAATGACTCCGATGTTGCATTGGCTCTGCAGGCTGCTAACGAATGTTGTATTACATAAACTATCAGAATTGTGTCTCCGAGGAGTCCAGGCCCGGGACACCGCCCTAAGGCTACTAAGATCAATTTCTCAGACTGTCGGCATATGAGTTAGTACTGCATATCTCTTTTGCCTGTATTTGGGTAGATTGTGATCAATCCAAACGTAGACTCTATGTCGTAGTACACCAACCTCCACGGACCTCATACTCTCTCAGACATCTCCAAGCCTGAGAGTCCGATGTATAGTACAGTTAGTACTACCGAGTTAAGTAGGTAACATGACCCCCATCAGCGTATGATACATGCCCTCGCTACTGCCACCATCATCTATCAGGATTCAGGCCCAGGGGAAATAAGGCCACCCTTTTCCAAGTCATATGGCTAATTTCAGACTACCCTGAGTCTCTCTTTCCTAGACGAGTTGCTCAGGCTATGTTTCTTTGTCAAACCCTCGAGATGGTATAATCGTCTACATATACATATCCTGAAGGTGTGTTGTTATCGAGTGACAGATGACGGTTATGGTGTTGATCCTACATGTCACCTTCATGGACATACTGTCATGTCAATCTAGCGCCACGGTGCAGTTGATTGGGCCTTTAGGAAGGTATGGTTCATTATCGCATGAACAAGCAGAAACACATGCCTTGGCCGCCTCTCCATGTGACGTCCCGTCGTCTATAATGCCTAACAATTATCTTGGGTCTTTGGGTGGCCCCGGTCACCATGGCAAAGCAAGATGAAAGATACGCTGAGCAGAAGAAATAGTATACGGTCACATAACTTATTGACCGCAGTGCGTGATTGTACCAAATATGTGTTCTTACTTCTTCTGAGCAGGTCGGCTGCGGTGGTGCACCGAATGAAGGGGTTAATAGTGTACGAAGCTAGAACGGAGTGAGTCTCAGCGTGATGTTAGGACAACGCTGAGGTGAGACGACGTGAGGAAGCGGACTGACGTCATGCGTCATACAGCCATACGAGCAAGGAGCGGGCTGTCGTCCAGCCAACAAATAGGTGTTCACAAGGGGAGAGGGCGTTGATGGGAGCTGTGGCAGCGTGGTAATACTGAGGTAAGAAAAACGTCAAGTTAAGGGGGTAGAGATGATGAAAAGCGATGTTATTAATGTTGTGGGATTCAAGCTTTACAGAGCTAAAGAAGAAATTGCGGATAAGCGCCTGAGTAGGGTTATAAGGAGAAAATCTGCGCTACCCACTACACACAGGATCCACAATGCAACAATATTCCGACGACGAATACCTCTCCAATGAAGACCCTGACGGGGGTGAAGACTCGGAGGGTGAAGGCCTCGACAGGGATGATGACCCTCAATGGGGTGAACGCTCTGATGAGGGCGAAGACCCTGATGACTCGGAGGGCGAGGGTCTCAACAGGGATGACGACCCTCAATGGGATGGACGCCCTGATGAGGGTGAAGACTCTGATGACTCGGAGGGCGAAGACCTCAACAGGGATGACGACCCTCAATGGGATGGACGCCCTGATGAGGGTGAAGACTCTGATGACTCGGAGGGCAAAGACCTCGACAGGGATGAACGCCCTGATGAGAGTGAAGACCCTGATGACTCGGAGGGCGAAGACCTCGACAGGGATGATGACCCTCAATTGGGTGAAGACCCTGATGAGAGTGAAGACCTTGATGACTCAGAGGGTGAAGACCTCGACAGGGATGAACGCCCTGATGAGAGTGAAGACCCTGATGACTCGGAGGGCGAAGACCTTGACAGGGATGATGGCCCTCAATTGGGTGAACACCCCGATGAGAATGAAGACCCTGATGACTCGGAGGGTGAATACCTCGACAAGGATGACGACCCTCGATGGGGTGAACGCCTTGACACTGAGAATGAAGACTCTGCTGGAGGGGAAGATTATTATGATGGCAAATATGCTCACCAAGTCGCTGATCAAGACCGTTACGAAGATGCTGATGAAGAAGTCCGTGGAGACAAGGTTGTTGATGAAGGCTCTGGAAGTGACGAAGACTCAGGGAGTGACGAACGCTCTAGAAGTGATGAGGGCTCTGGCGGTGGCTCTAACTTTGGTTCCAGGTCTAATGGACAACCATCACATAATGTAAGCTTTTGCTGTCAATGTGTGTACTCATTGCAACTTGAGCTAAGTATTTCGTACAGATATTCACGACCGCCTCAAACGCGCATACTGAGTGGCTGCCGACGCAAGGGAATGATAGCGAAGATGGCAACAATGATGACCCATATTCTAGACGCCACCAGTGGCAAGCACCAAACCGTCCACAACCTAGTAACAAAGATGTCAACAGCGACTACAACCTCCACTCCAGACGCCAACCACCAAATCACCCACAGCACAATGAAGATGTCAACGACAACAGCTCCCACCCCAGACACCAAGCACCAACCCGCCCACAGCATACTAACAAAGATGTCGGCAATGACCACCCCCACTGGCACCCCATACGCGCACTAAACCGCCTATTGCACAAGAAAGATGGCAGGAACAATGATCCCCATCCCATCCATCAACCACCAAACCTCCCACCGCACAAGAAAGATAGCAAGAAAAATGATCCCCATCCAAGGCGCCAACCGCCAAACCACCCAGGACCCAGCAATCCTCCCAGACATCAACCATCAAACCACCCAGGACGCAAGGATCTTCCTCGACTACCAGATCGCCCAGGACACAACGACTTTTCCGGACGTCAACCACCGAACCGCCCAGGACGCAAGGACCTTCCTCAACTACCAGATCGCCCAGGACACAACGACTTTTCCGGACGTCAACCACCAAATCGCCTAGGACCCAGCGAGCATCCCAGTCATCAACCACCAAACCACCCAGGACCCAGCAATCCTTCTCCCAGACGTCAACCACCAAACCACCCAGGACCCAGCAATCCTTCTCCCAGGCGTCAACCACCAAACCACCCAGGACCCAGCGATCCTTCTCCCAGACGTCAACCACCAAACCACCCAGGACCCGATGATCCTCCTCCCAGACATCAACCACCAAACCGCCCGCCGCCCAAGAAAGACGGCAACAATAATGATCCTCGTCCATCCAAACTGCCAAAGCCTCCACTCCCCAAGAAAGTCAGTAACCATGATTCCCATCCCGGGCCCCAACCACTGGACCACCCACCACCCAACTCCGAACATGGGACAAAACTCAAGACCCACGCCAAAGCCAATGAAATCAATGGACACTCATTATACGATGATATCAAGGTGAGCTTTTCAGGCCCTCAACGTGTCTCCCTATCATACAATGTGAACTTCCTTGATACAGATCAAAGTCTTGCCGACTGTCTGGAATGCATCTGTTGCTGGTGACCTGCACACTGCTGAAAAGCTGCTGACCCAAGAGATCGACAAAGATGGCAACAAATATGATTCTTGTGCCATTCGTTCAATGGTCAGAGCACGGAGTTCTGAATGGGATAATGCGCTTCAAGACGCAGTCAAGGTCAAACCCTTTGCATACCGTTAGTAGTCTGTTCATAATGGATATGTTGCAGTCAATTGCCATCCAGCCCTCGTTATGGGGATATATTTCCAAGAGCATCGCCCTCTGCGGCAACGGACAGCTATGGGATGCGATGGAAGCTTTCGACCTCGCTATCACATTTTCTAATCGTGATCCGGTTACCATTGATCTTTTACTGTTGATCAAGGTACGCTCATTGTTGTGTTCATAGTCTGTCTGTCATACTAAGACTTTGTCTAGGCTGTTGTAATTTTCAATGCCGGTCGCCATAATGAAGCAATACGGCGAGTTCAACGTCTTGCCATCACTGACCAACGCTCGGATGCACTTCGGTGCAGCATGGTAGATGTGGGTTTTATGTCAGACCCGATGAATTTTCTTATTCTGAAATACACTCCTAAGGCATATCTGCATGTACAGCTTGCTATGATTACTTTCCAGAACGGGCAGTACAGCAAAGCCGCTGATAAACTCACAGCCAGTATTGCCACCATAACAGGTTTGTTCTCGCCTGCCACACTTTTGGAACCTAGGTGGAAAATATTCACGCTGGTATGTCCTTACAAAGCCGTCGAAGACAGCTTTACTCATGGACGATATGTGTTGAACAGCTCTTTGGCTGGGACTTTGATTCTTTATGGCGAACTATCAATCAAAGACGATGTGACGCACTCCTCCATGCTGATCGAGTGACCGAAGCAGTCAAATCTTTTCAATATATGATGAGCATGATTGATGACGATACGAAGAGCGGCTGCCTCGAATGGTCTTCCAGTAAGTGTGTTATTATATCGGACAACCTGAACATCGGGATTCATTTTAATATCGATAAGCCTTCAAGCGAGACTGTATCGCACGATGTGTCGCAAAGGCAGATGAGGCCATTGCCGCGAGCGACTATGAGATGGCTGTTGAACTTTATTCGGCTGTGATCAAGCTGGATCCCTCGCACGACTCCTTTTTTGAACGCCGCAGTACGGCCTATTTGGCGCAAAAACATTATGCGCAGGCCCTTGCTGACGCCGACACGGTGCAGACTATATCTATCATGTTTTCTGTTGATTGTACTGATTACTCCAACACAGGTCATCAAACTCAGTCCTTCCTCTCGTCACGGGTCCGAACTGCGGCATGCAGCACTTCGTGGTGCACAACAATCATACAAGAAAGCAAACGAGACATTTGAAAGCATGCTCTCCAAGTTAAACCTCAAAAATGCTCCTGACTCCCAGATGCGAGGCAAGTCTTGAGTAACTCTTGCACTACCATTCGTTCAACTAACTCTTTCTCCAGCGCTGCGTCAGCAGTATACTGAAGCAGAGCAAGCTATCAAAGAGGCTATTGATACTCATCTGGAAAAGGCGCCGCTTCGTCTATTTAACGTGTCCACTGGGCGTTTATGCAATGAAGATGCACAGAGAAATGACTTCATGCAGAGCAAAGAGTACAGCGAGCTTCTGTATTCATCGATGACGCATATGCCCCTCCAAACGGAGCCCATCAAGAAGGCGGTCGCGAAGTACTTCAGTTGGGTTATGTTATCACATAGGTGGGATAAAGAGGAGCCCATGCTGCACGACATCCAAGGCAAGGTTGTGTACGAGTTGAAGGGAGTTGCCGGCATAGAGAAGCTGCAAAATTTCTGCAAGAAGGCTCGTGGCATGGGGTACCGTTGGGCATGGAGCGATACATGTTGTATCGATCAGAAGAACACTGCTGAGGTTCAACGATCAGTCAACTCCATGTTTGTCTGGTATCGCCACTCAGCTCTTACGATGGTCTATTTATCGGATGTCTCACCTGCCTTCAAGTCGGGCGCACTGGCAAATAGTGTTTGGACCACAAGAGGATGGACTGTTCAGGAGTTCCTGGCTCCTAACGTCATTCTCTTCTACCACAAAGATTGGGACTTATATCTCAATGATCGCTCTCCCAACCACAAGGAGTCACCCACTATCATGAACGAGTTGGAGCGTTCAACAGGCATAAAGGCACGCGCACTCGTTACCTTTAATCCGGGGATGAAAGGTGCTCGAGAGAAATTTCGATGGGCGTCACGCCGTGTCACCTCGCTGCCGGAAGACATTGCATATTCATTGTTCGGCATTTTTGGTCTCCAACTGCCTGTACTCTACGGCGAGACGAAGGAATGCGCGATCGGTCGGCTCTTGCAAGAAATTGTCGCTCGGTCGGGCGACATTACTGTCCTGGACTGGGTTGGAAAACCATCCAAGTTCAATAGCTGTCTCCCAGCTGAAATCACCTCGTATACCACTCCACCACACACACAACCGCCTTTATCTGCAAATGAGGTGCAGAATTCTGTCTCCAGGCTGCAAAAGATTGTGGCTGTGGAGTCAGCTTTGAAACTGTATACCCTTTTTGACAGCCTCAGTGCGCCGCGTTTCGCGAACTCCAGACTACATCTGCCTTGCATTACATTTGCTATCACAGAAGTCAAAAAGAAGCGCGATGAAGACCAGGGAACATCATTCACATACAGAGTCAAAGCAGACGGGCTGCAAGACCTATCAATAGTCACAGGAGACAAGCTGGTTCAATTCTCACCCGCACGGCCCACTCCGCAGGCATTCTTGCTGGTCTGTCCGTGGAATCGTCATGATTTTGGGCTGCCCGACTTTGCAAACGGTGCACAGAGCGTGAAAGAACAGGAGCAGGATGACTTGGACTCCCGTTCGCGAGCCTTGAAGTTGATCGTTCGCCTTGGACAGCCTTTTAATGCACTTTTACTTGCGCAGCAGCGTGGTTCGGAGTACAAGAGAATCGCGTCGGATCATAGTATCACCGCAAAGATCAAGAGCACGACTGCTGTTCATGACATGATGGGCGTCAAGATGATAGAAATATTGTAGCTGCATTGTTGTGGAAGAACGGATTGATTTCACTTACGCTTTGTGTGGACAATTATCTCTATATAGGCTGGATCTCGGACAATTGTATTTTATCGTATGCTGAAATTCAATAGCTCGCAGTGACCCCTGCCGGCTTTCGTGTACAACTGCCTAGAGTATCAACTCTAGGATGAACTTCAGATTAATGCCTGTTGGTGGTAGTCATCTTGACTATTGTTCTACTCCGTTCTGGTATATTCTCCTGCAACACAATACTGCGCGCGCGTCGTAGCGAACACGTGCATTGCTTTTTTTTTGGTCCCTTCAGCCGAAGTACTTACGTGCACATATGCTGCAGTTATAAATTAATGCCGCCACGTTCACTGTGCACGATCTTTTTAACCTCTTCAGCCTACTTGACCCAGATCTTGTAATACCATTCCACGAAATGTCAGTTGATGTGCGTTATGCAGCATTTGGGGGGCTCACAGCGATCCTCCTTTTCGGAACACTCTACTCAGTCGCATACGACACTTATCTCGACACCTCCGATCCCGCCCTCACACATCTCCCTCACCATCTACATGCAACGCACTACTTCGCCAACAAAGCCAACATCATAAACTCATACTTCATCAAACGCGCATGGGGTTGGACTTCCGCGGCCTTCCTCACGCTTTGGCTCACCAGCCCACCTCGCAAGCGGACAGCACACAGAGTAGTCAAGTGGGGCGTAGAAACAGCCATATGGCTCGTGTTCACAAGCTGGTTCTTCGGACCCGCCCTACTCGAAAGGCTCACAGCAGCTTCGGGGGGCGAGTGCACGGCCACCCTTCCATCGGGTGCCGTGTTCACCGTCCCGTATGAATTCTGTCTCACGCGGACAGCCATATCACAAGAGACGCACCCGTTCTTGTTTGTTGGACCGTCGTTATGGGTGCCGGATGATAGGTTCCCGGTGGTCCCTCGCCTGAGGAAGGGACACGATGTGTCAGGCCACGTCTTCCTCCTCACTATGTCCGTCCTATTTTTGGTGGACCAGATCAGGCCGTCTTTGTACGCGAGGAAATGGTCGCTTCCGCATGCTTGTGCAGTCGTGTTTAATATCGTGCTCATCGCAATCTGGTTCTTCGCCATCTCCACCACCAGCGTGTACTTCCATACGCCATTTGAAAAGTTTACTGGATATCGTACGTCCTGTTTCGTTTTAGGATTGTCAACCGGCTTACTTTATTTACAGTGTTAGGAGCTGCGGGTTACATAGTGACTTTGTTGTATTAGTATACCAGCGCGATTCTTGTTATAGATGTAACATTTCGACATCGCTTATCAGTCCGCTTGTAGTATACAATGTCGACGTGGTCCAAAATTCACCATAATCATGTCAAAACGTCCGCGCCGAGTACTGTGATACATTGTGCACTACGTCAATATTCAATCATTATACGGGTCGAAATCCATGCAAGTAGATAGTCTAACATCAATCGTAAACACCACTGTCTCAAAAGAACAGCCAGCCAATCAAAGCCCACGTAACAACAGCAGGCAGTGCAACACTCATGCTGTCGCCTCCCAACCTCCACAACATGCCCCTCCGCTTACCTCTGTACATACTGTCGCTGCTGTCAGACGCATAAAACTTTTTCATCTCCCCCCACGTCGGCAGCGCAATCGTTATCCGTCGCCGCCTCCCTCTGAATACGAAGCTCCAGCTCCATGATGGCCATTTCCTCTCTGATCGACGTGCGCTCGGTGAGGGAATGAACGATGGCGCTTCGTGAACGTCCTCACCCGAAGGCCAGACATGGTCGCTGTGATGCTGTGAAGGATAATGTGCGGGGTTCATTTCGTCCTCATGCCCGGCGTGGAAAAGCGGGATAGGACTCAGGAGCGGAGAATCAAGCGGTGATCCAGAGGCTGATGGCGACAAGGCACGGAATGTAAATATCTCTTTTGCATTAGGGACACGCACTGTAACTGAGGGCGGAAGTGCCACTGCCGGACTCGTCGGACCACTTGACTTCCGCGGGGACCAGTTAGCCCAGATTGCAGATTCTGGGCCTCGCGATGGGGAACTTGGTCTACTCCTACTACTTGCAGAGACAGGCGAGAGAGTAGAGAAATGGCGACGATGACGGCCAGTTGAGATGTTGAGGTATAGGAGCACGATGGCGGTGAGTACGAGAGCGGGTAGGTATATCGAATTGAATATGCGGAAGGTATCGGGCAAAAGGCAATGCGTATCTGCGAACGTAGAACCATGGTGCGATACCGCAGAGTCTGGTGGGATGAGAGAGAGGAGCTGGAAACCCGGGCGTCGGATGTGCTTGGATGGGGAAAATGATTTCACAGTCACTTCCCGGGCGGTGGTCTTTGCTAGTACATTGGCATCTGATGCGGAAAGTTGGTGGGTCATGTTGCAATAATCTCGATTGTCACCGCTGTATAGGGGCGTGGGATTTAAACACGGGAAGAAGCGGCTGATGTATCTTACCTGAAGACCACTGCTGGACGAAGCATGTGCAGAACAAATCTAGTGGTTTCTTTACCGAGCATGTTCTGATACCCATGACCTGCACTAGCGCGTATAGAGCCTTTTTCACGCAGTGGCCCGCATGATGTACTTGCTGGTCGTGATAATGGGATATGGCTGAATAAGATGATGGGGCTAGATGATGCTAATAATCCCGACATCAGCAACCAAGATGCATTCATAAATGCAAGACAACACCCACCCCTGATGGCAACGGATGCGATGAACTCAATTGGACCGCCCATAGCTGGTGTCCAAGTCTCGTACTGCTTGCCCTTTCCATGTCGGCGATAATCCTCATCAACCAATCCAGGGGCGTCGATGAAGATCAGCCTATGGCCAGCCAAATCGATCTCCTGATTCACAGGACCAAAGTACTCGGTAAAGTATTTTCGCGCATTCTTTGAGAACGCAGAAGATTCCCCGAGACTGGAAAACAAAGGTCGGGTCACCAAATTCCCGAATGACCACGTCACGAGTCAAGCACGCACCCAACATCTCTATTCCCTGGAACAAAATAGCTCGGCACGGATTTGTCGGTGGCGAATATCCCCTTAAATTCATCTACGTAGTTTTTGTATCTATCAAGAACGTTTAGCGCATATAAGCAGGTGTTTGCAATAATGACACGTACTCATCTTCATTCGTGACGTAGCGTCCAGAGGCAAGCACGTCGCCTAGCCATACGACTACGTGAGGGTGCAGACGAGTGACGACGCTCCAGCCTTTTCGTAAGTATCTAGTAGAGGATGCATCATAGTGAAGCCACGAAATCCCTGAACGCCTCGGGTTTGGGAGTTGGGGGTCAGCAATCAAGAGGACTCGAGTTGGCTTTTCTGTTGACCCAGCCTTGACAGCGTGTCATTACAAGGACAGAACTATTTAGTTGGATGAACTCACCTCCTTCAACTCCTTGTCTGGCCACTTGCAATCTGATAAACTGTAAAAAAATACACCGAATTCGCACCAAATAACAAGAACGACCCAGAAGAAGCGAAGGAGGTTGATGATGGTGTTGCGCGAACAAAGACGCGACCTGATACGCTTTTCATGGATAAAGCTCATTCCGCATCACTTGCAATTGAGGAATCGGCAAGTGGAAGGCAAAACCCAGACTTAGTTTAGAGAGAGAGCTGTTTTAGGGTTCGCCTGATTTAGTTAAACGTATAAATAGTACCCAACATCTGCTCTCTGAGGTATTATATGATAGGCTGATCCAAACTACTTATATACAACTACATAAGAACACCAAGATCTTACTCCCAGTCGCTCTCCTCTTCATCGTCCTCATCCTTGTGTACATGCTCCTGTGCATCTCCTGCAGCACTGACATTACCAGAAACCACATCATAACTGTCCTCACTACTTTCCCTAGGACTCATGGTCATAGGAGTATTGAATTGCGAAGAATTTGGGAGCGATTGAACGTCGCTCGTGTCTGCCGCTTTCGGTGCCAGCGTACGTTGTGATAGGGTCGACGATTCGAGAGCTCCGATGGATTTAGATTCAGGAGCAACGGATTCGTCGTCGTCATCTTCCCAGCTGAAGTCTTCTTCGGTTTGGTGTGCTCCTGTGAAGGTATCAATCAATAAAATGTCGTGTTGCAAAAGACAAAAAGTCATGTACCGTGAATAAGAGCCTTGCGTCTCATTTCTTCTTGTTCGATCTGATATACACGGAAGAAGTATCGTGTCCAGAATTCATCGTCAGAAAGAACGGCAGGTACTGAGGCAACCATAAGCGTCGACAATGAGGATTGTAGTAATCAACATACCTAGTGCATTGAACGTCTCTTCCAGCGTTTGACCATCATCTGGATCAGATAGCGCCCTTGCGATGCGTTCTGACCAAAATTTAGTACCAGGGTGTTCATCCTTGCTCTGCGCCTCAGACACCCAAACATGGAACGTCTCCCTCCCCGCATCAGCATCGGGATCAAGCTTGATGATCTCAGGATTACTCTTCAGCTGCTTCAACAGCGCTTGTGCGCGCGTCGCGACAGCCTGACGGGCATCTTCGCTTTGTCGCCTCGACGAAACGCCCAAATCCGTCTCCTTGCCCTTGCCCTTGACATCCCCTCCTTCCATCGGTAGCATCCATACGTCAGATCCATCCCAAACCAGACCCTGATTTGAATATCCTTCGCCCTCCTCTGGTGGAATTACCTTCACCGCGTCTCGCAGGGCTTCACTGGCTTCCTTCATAGCTTCCCGCAGCAGATGTTCGCTCTTGTGGACATATTCCTCCGCCTGCGCACGCGTCACCCCCTGGACGCGCTGAAATTCGGTAGTTAGCGTCGTCCGCAACTGTGACAGATCGATGCTTTGTGGGTGTTTGAGACTTTCAGGAAGCTGAGCTTGGACATTCGAGACAATATTAGGCGGAAGCGAAGATTGGAGGCGAGCAAAGAATGATTGTGAAATCGAAATTGAGCCTTCTGCGCTGTGCGATTCTGCAGTAGGCGTCTCAGGAGCTGTGCCACACTCGCTCTCGCTCTCTTTGTCAGAGGTGTCCTCAGCTTCACTAGTGTGAGCATCATTGGCAGGGGTTTCGGTTGATATAGCGAGTTTGCCAAGCTCCTTCTGCGCTTGTGTGACTACCTCGCCGAAATCCTTGCGCGCAGTTGCGAACGCAGTTTCGCTCTGTTAGATCTCTGGCGTGAGTTTCAATTATCGCAATCAAAGAGCGGATGTAAACGTGCCTGCTTCCTGAACCCTCCCCAGAACTTTCCGAGCTGGCCGATGACCTGAGAAACCTCTTCATTGAGGCTCTGTTCTGGGAGCGCATTCACGGGCGGCGTGTTCGTACCCGTCCCAGTCAGCCCATAAGTATCAAGGAAATTCATGGTCAACTTCTTAGATCCAGGAATACGGGTTGCGTGCATGCAACGACGGATCCATGAACGCCCGATTAGGCAAGTTTTCAATCACAGAATACAAATTATACAATTTGCCAAGCTATCGCGAATTCCACGAAATACAAGTACAAAACAAGACCATCAATCATGCCTGCAGGAATAAGTATCGTACACCGTATCTGGTTACGTGTATAATGAGAACGGTAAAATAAAATGATCAATCAGGCAGTAACTTGGACACGGGCAGGCTGCTCCACCATGAAGCTGGCAACATCAATGGTAGTGGCCACAGGCTTCTTGACATTCTCTGCTTTATGCATACGGCATTCATCGAGGAAGTCCGTGAACATCTACACGATAAATTAGCAACGGCCGGGCTAGACGACTAATAACAACAGACCTCAATTGTGTCGAGGGGGCCGCCGGCGCTCTCGGGATGGAATTGAACACCCCACACCTTTTTTCCAGACTCAGGGGTGGACTTGATGCCCTCTACAGAAGAGTCATTGCAGTTGATGAAGAATGGTTCCCAGCCTTGCGGGAAGGGGTCAGACAGCTTAAGAGCATATTGATGATTTTGACTGATGACGCCATTTAGCACCATCCATGACTCATAATGACTGAAGAATGCATACCTGGTAACATAAACCCTCCCAGCCTTAATGGAACCTGCTGATGCGAGAGCGAGGACAGGCTGGTTGTGCCCGCGGTTGCCGAACGTCATGCGGTATGCCTCGAGGCCGGCAGCCATACCAATAATCTGGTGCCCCATGCAGATACCAAACACGGGCTTGTTCCACTCCTGAAGTGTCTTGCGAAGTATGGAAACGGCTTCCATGCATTGGCTCGGGTTTCCGGGACCATTGGTCAGGAATAGACCATCAAACTTGTCACGGATGGCGTTGAAATCGTAGTTCCATGGCAATACCGTGACTGCAGCGTTCCGGCGAACGAGAGAACGCAGAATATTGGCCTTGGCACCGAAATCAAGGACTGCGATCTTGATATCCCCAGTAGGGTTGAGCTGGTAGGGATACTTTGTCGACACCTGGTCGACAAGATTCTCAACTGCGGGGTCCCAATACTGCTCGGAGGCAGGCGCAGGAGCGCAAGCATCAGGACCAATGGCAAGGCGACCGAGTGTGGTTCCTTGATCACGAAGGAGGCGCGTGACTGCACGGGTGTCTACGCCAGTGATGGCGGGAATGTTGGATCGGCGACACCATGATGCTAGTGATTCCACCGCGGAATGATGAGAGAATTTTTCTGCGACATCAGCTACTACAATAGCGCTGCATTGGATGCCTTGAGACTCCAGGACCACACCAACGTCCTGGGAATTAATTGGTGCGTTGTTAGATGGAACACCGTAGTTGCCAATGAGAGGCGTGGTGAATACTAGAATTTGACCACGGTAAGAAGGGTCAGTCATAGACTCAGTGTCTAAAGGGTGAGATGATGAGAAGGTTGTGCATTAGATGATCAATATTTCGACATACAAGAAGTGATGGACGTTGAGAAGACGGTCTCGCCGAAGATGCTTCTGGGAGAACCAAATGAACGGCCATGGAAGGACTGGCCTGTTTTAAGGTGCAAGACTGCTGGTAAGGCTGAGAGAGGGCCTGTGTGTGTTGCAAAACCCCGGGAGAGAGTTGTTGGTAAACGAATGATGGATCGAGCAAACATGATTTATTGATCAGAATCCGATGAGGGAGAATACGAGGTCGCCGAGGTAGCTTAATGTCGAAATCGTCAGCAAGAATTAATCGATCTTATAAGCAATAGACTTACTCGTCGCGTGTGTTCTGGGTGAAGATCATAGACGAGCTTGAACGCTCAAAAGGGGATTTGCAGCTGGAGATTGCTGACTGTCAGATGGAACTGTGAAAAAAAAAGATGAGCGCGACGGTGTTTATATAGTCACCTGGCGAATTGTTGCCATTGTTTGTCGCAAAAGCGCGTGATCATCGTTTACTCAATTTGTATGTCATACCCCTATTTGAAAATCTAGAGTTGCCCAGTGACCTGATATACAAAGCCACGTACGTCTAAAATGAGAGAGAATCAATGTGTTGTTATTTCTCACTAGCAGGTGCTGGACACGCTCTGGAGGGCAGCCGAGAGCTCAACCGCGGGTTTCGAGACACCCCACAAGTATCCTTCGTGCCATCTCATCATCGTCAGATGATTCTATCTCTCACGACCATGGACCGAGTGATAGGATATTAGTGTTTCTACATTCTCACCGCTCGTCACTCAAGACAGCGAATTGGTATCTGTATAATTTCCTAGGATACTCTTGTTTGCTTCATTAACTGTACACAAAAGAGAAACGGATTCTATCAGCGCAAGTATGTAGAAGAAAAAAGTAATATGGGAGGCCGTGAACGAGATCATCAATAAACCATAGACGCTAAAAGTCCCTTAGTCTTTTTCGAGCGGAGCTTCCCTGCCCTGTTCGCTTGTGGGATGTGCGACTGGCCCTCGTTATCAGATTCAGATGACGAATCGTCGTCATCGTCGTCGTCATCATCATCATCCACCTGCCCTCCCATACCGTTAACTATGGTGCCCGCACGAGGTGCGACAGGATTACTTTGCGAGAAAAGCGTTGCTTGACTCGCGATATCCGTCAGTCTGCGGTAGGGTGGTATCGATCTGCGCGTTTTAGCATTGGTCGTCTTCCTCTTCTCGGCTCCGGCCTCCGCCTCGGATTCAGATTCCGAGTCCGAAACTACCTCCATGTGTTTCTGGATAGATGCCTTGTACTGCGAGTGTGGAAAGGGTACTTGGCTCGCCGGCAACGTGAAAAGTGACCCGCCGGCTTTGCCTGCTGAATCATCATCAGAATGTTCTCCCGGGCTGCTTTGATCAGATGCTTTGCCAGTAAGTTTGCCACCCTGTCCAATGGGAGAACTATCAAGTTCTTCCACCAAAATAGACGGCGAAGGTACACGAAGGGAAGACCATTTGGCAAGAGAAGCTGGAGGTTTCGGTAAAGGTTGCGAATGTGACGGTGTTACGCCAAGGCCGTTCAAATTTGTGCTCCTTTTCGTTGGTTGCGAAGAGATGCGAGGGAGATCTGTCCGTGTTGCTGCCTTACCGCCGTGGATCGACGGTTTATCATTGCCTGTCCGAGTGGCAGTATTCTTCTTGCCCTCAGCGCCTGCTCTCTGGGATCCATTGACCTTGGATTCATCAGCACGTACAGGAAACTGAGACGGGCTGAGAAGTTGCCCGTGTCGATTCTTCATCCGCTTTACTATGCCGGACTTTGGAGTCGAGTGGGCTGCTGGGGAAGGTGGTCTTGCAGTTTTCTGAGTTGGCGGCGTTATAACTTCGATGGGATCATTATCAGATGATATCACGTGCTGAAATTCCATCAGATCGTCGGCTGGTTCAATAGGGTCATCGTGAGTGTCGACTTTATTACGAGAGAGCGCAGCACCACGGGCAGGTGATGTATCCGATGCTTTGTCCAGGTCTGCAGCCACAGGTGCTTCCCCAGCATCTTTGGCCGAGTCATTGTCGCTATCCTGAACCTTTGACACAGAAACGCGGGTAGCATTCGTGTGAAAAGCACCTTGCACACCGTCTTTCTTGCTTCCAGCCGGGTCTGTAGCATTGGACGTCTCATCAGGACCTGCAGAAGGTTTTGGCGTGGCAGTTGAAGGCAATGGCTCGGAAACCTTTTGTATCGGCGGGGATATTGAGCGCTGCTCGCTCTCGTCGTCTTCATCCCCTTCCTCTTCAGATGAATTGACCCAGCGCTGCGATAATCGACGGTATTTCCGCTCATTCTCGCCATCATCTTCCACTTCCAGAGGTCCGATGTCGTCGTCTTCGTTCTCGGTGTCTGATTCATCCTCTTTCGACTCCAAGGTATCGATCAAGTTACGAAGCTTGATTGACCCCGGACCTCGCATGATGGCGTCCAAATCAACGTCTTCGAGCGAACGCTGACCAGGGTCAGGTCCATGCTCCTCTTGTTCTTGTTCTTGAGCAATCTCGTCTTCTTCCTCCGAACTGCTTCCTTCGTCGCGGCTCTCCACAGTCACCTCTGAAAGTAGCGAGTGACTTGGCACAAGGGGCGTCCAAGAAGGTGGAGACTCCTTATCTGCTATCGTAGTCCGTGATGGCTTCGCAGTATCTGCAGCGCCGCGTTTTGCGGAAGGCACTGCAGCGCTAGGGGACTTTAACAACGACTCCAAATCTTTGATAGTGACTTGATACTTCTTTGCCCCTGCTTTCCTCAATTCCTCAATTCTATTCTGTATCGCTTCCTGGCCTGCCAGCACCGTTGGGCATTGATACAGGGGATGAAAGGAACCAGAGCAAGCATGGCAAAGCGGAATAGATGACACACCACCTTTCGTGGTCGTAATTACAGGGGGGGCCAGTGAAATGGACGACTGGGAAGTGTTAACCGAATTCACCTCAGTATTGGTATTATTCTGTTTAGCCAACTCCTCCGAGGCACGTGCTATTGAATTCACAATGTCCTGAATATTTATTGGATTGACAATTGGGCCAGCTATTGATCTAGCATTGGTCAGACAGTGACTGCTGTCAGAATGAGTTGCGCACCATCTGCATCAGAAGCCTTGGCTTTTGTTGCTTTGCTTTGCCTAGTCTTCTCTGTAGAACATTAGAAAGCGCGGGATCAATGTATGATACCACGCACTTTCTTTCGGAGCTGGAGCCTCTGAAGCTCCCGCGATTGCAGCTTTCTTGCGGCCTTTTGTCGGAGCTGCGATAAAATCATTGATGACAAGGAACTTCTGATGACTCTCGAAGACGAACCAGGTGTCTCAGGAGCTGGTTCACTTTCAACTTCTTTACCCTTCACCTTGCCCTTCTTCTTTTCTGAAGGTGGTCAATCAAGACGTGTTTAATCAATATATACAACTCCTGCGTACTTTCAGAGCCAGCTGCGTTGTCAACTGCACCGTTCACAGATTTCTCGACCCCAGCTTTCAGGATAGAATTTCAACATCCAGAAGTATGAAAAGGAAACATGTACTTACCAGACTGAAGAGCCGACGATTTTGTGGCAATCTCCTTCGTTCCTGATGATTTCTTTGGCGGTGCTGAGGGTCCAGAAGCCGGGACTGCATCATCACCCGATATTGGTAGGCTCGAGGTCTCCGTGGGCTTTTCGGTCTCCTTCGTTTTCTTCTTCGTTCCTGATGATTTCTTTGGCGGTGCTGAGGGACCAGAAGCCGGGACTACATCATCACCTGATATTGGTAGGCTCGAGGTCTCCGTGGGGTTTTCGGTCTCCTTCGTTTTCTTTGTCTTTCTTGGTGGCTTCTCTGCAGCATCCTTGGCCATACCAGCCTTCGCATTTTTTGGTTTCTTCTTCGGCGGTTCTCCATCAGTGGGGAGGGGCGCTTTGGTGCTTATCAAGACTTCGGACTTCGCAGAGGGCGTCAGTGACAATTCTGCTGGAGCATTGACTGGCGCAGGTTCCGTAGAAGTTGGCACAGTCTCCGTATGCTTAGTCACCGGGGGTTGATCTGTCTTCCGTTTCTTAGTCTTTGGTTCGGGTGCCACAGTCGTGTTGCCATCCTTAGGAGGCTGGTCATTATTGGCTTTACGTTTCTTCTTCGCTACGCTCGTCTCAGAAGTTTTTGACACGGCCACCGTGCTGTCAGAAGATGTGTCCCCCTGTGCAGGAGGGGCCTGCTGGGACGGGTAAACACGAGCCAACTACACGCGAACCATTGAGCTTACTGAAATATCTACTGCCACATCAACCAACTTCATCAATCTCGCCCGCGCGGAGAACGCATCGAAATCATCATCTGAAGCAGAATGAGAGTTAGAGAAGAGGTGCCATACCGCAGAGCTGGCGCGTTTACCGTCATCCAAATCAATAACCTTGTCGCCACGCAGCTGCTTCAGCTTTACCGTCGAGTTTGACGGTAGCTGCAGTTTTCGCCGTACCACAGTCTGTATTTCGTCGAGAGATTGTTCTGTATATACCGCGATGAGTACAAAGCCACTTATAGTTAGTTAGGGAGGGAGTACCCTTGAAAAGTCTATCAAAAGACCTATCTCCAACGAGATAAGTAATACTCGGGAGTGGTTCCTCTTCTCGCTTTCGTTTTCCGCTGTTCACTTCCATTGCAGCAGGATTAACGAGCGACGCGATAGTGCGTGGCTTGGAGGTGTGGGCGTTGATAGGTGTCAAGCTTTTCTAGATGAGTGATTCACAAACAAATGCAAATACTACCCTCAACCCGGAACATTCATTATGGCTGGTGGAAGTCATCGTGCGTGACGTTCAGCTCGTCCTCATTGTTGCGCTCACAATGTGTTTGTAGCTTCAGGTTTTAACCCTCATCTTCCCGGGTTCAGATACCAGTTCCTTGCAAAAGCACTTGGAGCCACTATGTGGTTCTTCATTTTATATCGGGCTCGGTAAGTTCCAACACTATATATCCACAGTTGTATGCTAACTTCTGATCAGTGAGGACGGACCTAAGCTTCTTGTATTTATTCTTCTCTCCTCTGAATGCTGCCCCGGTCTCTAACACATTGTTTTGCAGGGCCTTCGGCATCCATGGGAGGGCCACGGTCATGGCCACCACGATGAGCACTCAGAGCATCATTGACAATCTCGATAGAAATGTTGTAATCTTTTGGGTATTCGCTGATATATCCGCATTCTATTCGCACCATAGGACTGAAGCGGACTCAAATAAGCTTTTCTTGTTCATCGTCTTTCGCCGTCAACACTCGATGACCACTAGAAGCGAATTCATTATTTGTGCTCCGAGACTTATATATCTTAAAATCAATCTCTAGCCGAATGTTTCGTCCGTAGCTCATGAGCAGGGAAAACAATTCACAGAGCTATCGACGCTTCATGCTTGCAAGAACATGTATTAATAAAAATCCCTACCAGAATCGAACAGGTGCACAGTTTAAGAATTCGGACATGTGTTTTGATTCGTGTGTAAGGTCCGTGTTCGTGATTTTCTAATTGTGTCTCATCGTGGTTGTGCAGCGTTCGTATTACATCTCAGCAGAGATATCACCAAGCTATCCCGCCAGTCTCTTTGCCGTTGACGCCTCCAACACCCCTGCCCGCTATTGTATGGGCTGACTTTCTGGGCCGTTGACCTGCTTGGCTCCACGTTGGCGAAGTCTCAATTGAAATAGAATTGCGGGTTGCTCACGGCCGGGTCATCAGACATGGGTATCGTGTAGAATACTACTTTGCATCGTTGTAAGCACTTGGAAATGATTTTATTTGCCTAGTAGCTGCTTATTGACAATGTTTACTTAGTACCTGGAGACATGCATGTCGGTTATCATCATCCGAAAGTTGATACATACTATTCGGTCAAATAATCGAAGTTCGGGACTCGAAATCCACGCACAAATTGCCTTTCTAAACGACACCCAGTTTTCCCTCGAAATCTATCTGTGAACTCCTATCGTCGAGTTACAGTCTCATCTGCGTTATTTTTCAAGAAAAGAAGTTGCTCGTAGTGCTAGTACTGGCAATTTCTCTCCAACGATCACGAGTGCTTGGCTTTGTCACGGAAGTTACCCCACGCTCCTCATCGATAAGCTTCTTCTCTCATTGTCATCATCTCAGAGCTCCACCGCAGCCCTAACCACACTCTTATAAATACCATTTGATTTTCTGTCTCCATCCGCGCTTCCTCCGCCAACATTGCATATAATACCACTGCCCCAGTCGCGCGCTTGGCAGCAGTCAGCTTCGCGATCGAAACTTCTCACTTGGCAGAGGACTTCGATGAGGATGTTGCCGAGCTAAACATAAAAGGCCGTCCGACCTCAGCAGTTCACGCGATGTCCGTATGCTCGGGAGCATCAATTACCGCTGCGTGTCGATCTGTTTTCCGTTTCATAATCGTTCAGCTGCCGCAGTCTCATCAGCATTTATCGAAGGCTGGCCATTTGTGGTTTTGCGTTTGTCTTAGTCGCACTCATTTCTAAAGCATTCACCACGCTGGTGGAAGATGCAGCTCTATCTGTCGCAGGAGGAGGTTGCTGGAACGGGTTGACACAAGCTAGCTAAATTCAAACCACGACGCTCACGGAGTTATCCACCTTCAAACGACTTCACGATTCGAATCGATGAACGTATCGGAATATTTGCCGCTGCTTTAGCGTGATCGTCGAGTTCGACGACAGTTGCAGTTTTTTTGCTCGTAACACGTACATCATTTCTGTGAGAGAGTTTCTGCAAATTAGAATTGAGCTGAACGCGATCCCATCATACAGGGACAGAAGTGGTTTGGCCGGGTGTACCTTTGAAAACTCTTTCGAATTTGCTATCTCCGACGTAATACGTGATGATCACAACCATGGCGTAGGTCTATCAGGTCATACTGAGGGCTCTCGTTTTGCACTTCCCATTGTCATATAACTGTATCATTGGTTTAGACGATGCGTCGGTGTCCAAGCAAATGCCACTGGACTCAAAGGATCGGTGAAAGGAGATGTAGACACAAATATCCCTCCACGATGCCGCAAACATTAATTATCGTATACGTAGTAAGTTTGTTCCTGGTCTACATACTTGCGTTTGGCAAAATAACAGCTTGAAGTGAGAAAAAGACACAAGACGCAACAGTCCGACCTGCCTGGCTCGAACAGGCGACCTCAAGATGATTTGTTTATCCATTACAGTCTCGCGCTCTTCCAACTGAGCTAAGGTCGGTTGATAGCCTTCGCGTTGTTTTAGCTATAATGAAGTGACGGCAGACACACTACGGACAGACTGGAGTACAGGCTGCATGTGCTACAGGAAAGGTGCCTAGAGAACAGGCAGCACATGCTACTGAGGGGGGAATCCCCAACTACTACCAGCCCAGAACTGAGATCCTAGGGGTGAACCGTGAGGAGGCCGCAGAGACCACCCAAAACCATGACAGGACAGAGGATGCGTCGAGAGCCGACAAACGGGCAACAGAACCAGAATGCAGGAGAGCAACGAGCGCCACCCAGAAACAACCGACGAGGCCTGTCACAGGTCCTCAATGCTGTGGCAAGAAGCACGAGCAAGAAGAGGGGACAGTTTTGGGCCCAGGAGCTCTGCATGCAGAGGAGCAATGTGTTCCAGGACCAGCGGCCCATGACTTTGACGATATGCGGGGGAACATTGCGCAGGAGGAGCTCTGTGGTTCCCCCAATGCGGAAGCAGTCGCCTGAGATGCGAGGGAGGCCGTGAGGGGCCCAGATGGAGTTGCAAACAAGGAGAAACTTGCGTTTGGTGAGTGAGACGAGCCTTCCTCCCCCTGCAGCATATGCAGAAAGATGAGAAGAGGTGGGAGTTTCGAGAATGGCAGGGCTCGCTGCAAAATGAGCCAGGAGAGAAGAGATGGGATCTGAGACGCCTAGCTGTCGGCCTAGAAAGATATCCTCGCCTTTTTCCTTGGCCACCTTGGTCCAAGGAAGGCGACACATCAGGGATTCCCCCAAGTAGTGCTGCCGTGGTCCGGTTCCGAACCACGGTTCGAACTGGACCATTCACTACGTGAAGACCCCATATACTTTGTACCTAGTTAGCTAATATTTGACAATATAAATACAACAAAATTAGAGCATCTACTGAGTACATGAGTAGGCCTGAGTAGTTTTGAGGACATGAACTACCAACCATCTAACTAGGTGACCTATCCTACCTTCCAACTAGGCCATCTGTCTCAGAGTAAAAAAATGGCATCAATCTGGTGGCTCAAATTCTCGTCTAATTGCACATACAAGCTTCAAGCAGATGGATAACCAAATTTAAATTATCTATCAATATGTGATCTACATCATGTGGCAATTATATCGACTGCATCCTGCATCATGTTACCCCTCCTTCGCCCACCCCCTAGCACTCTTGTAACTCTTGTAAACCATGGTTCATCGTCCAGAAAATATCCCTGTCGATGTGTGGAATGCTTGGCCTGACCACCTTAAGCAAGCTGTCTGTGCTAACACTGGAGATAATCAGCCAAATACTGTATCATTTCGACCTTAGGTTTGTGGGAATTTCGGCACTGCATTACCTAATGGTTTTGTGACAGGTTCATCTCTCAAGGACAGCTGCGACAAACTTACAATAGGTTCATAGATTCACTAGGTTCATATTCAGTAGGATAATATATGTACTTTCTACACAAAGTATAGCTCAAAAATGACAATAAGGAGGGGAAAAAAAGTGGTTAGACAAATGTCTTCATAAAAAAACATATCTAAAAAAAAACACATCATATGTTATGTCACAAAATTAGGTTCGTTGACCCAAAACAGCTGTGACTGTCACAAAAAATAGGTTCGGTTCGTCGGGCTTGCGACGGTGTGATGAACCTAAGGTTGAAATGCACTCACCAGTAGGGATCCACACGGGTAAACTCGCGGGTGTCTCGAGGCCAACCCATACCCGTACCCGCCATGGGTATGTACCCGTAGACATGGGTATGGGTATGGGTGTGGGTGTGTACCCATGGTGGGTGTACCTGCCCCCACCCGATCCCAGTAGCCACCAGTGCTTAGTGCACATGCCCAGTGCATGTCGGCGAATGCTGACGTGGCTTGGACGTATGCGGAGGACACTGGAGAGCGCCAGAAGAGTGGAAGGAGGGACGAGACAGGAAGAATGAGATGGAGGGTAGGATGAGGGCATGAGTGGTGGTAGTAGGGTGCGAGTGGTGGTAGTAGCACACTGTAAAGTTAAAGATATTAGTAAATGAGAAAAAAACAACATGCACACCTGGAACAAGCAGCGAACGACTGAGAGCAATGAGCAAAAGATTAGCAAGTGAGAGAGTGAGAGCAGCGAGAAACGCACCTTTGCCGCTTAGAGCCTCAACCCAATCACTACACCCCTACAAGAGTTAGCTTGAAGGCTGGGAATCAGGTGCTGGTATTGGTGGTTATCATGAGATGAGAGTCAAGCAGTGGTGAAAGTGTGAACACAAATATTTGTAAGCACGCTCAGCAGTACCCATGCGGGTAACGGGTACTCAAGACTCTGACCCATACCCATACCCATGACCCGCATGGGTTACCCATACCCATGCGGATCCCTACTCACCAGTGGTCTAGCACCAGCGCCATGCCACACTCATGACGTGTATTGTGATGGGCCCACATCCCCTCATCCATACCAAAGGGGAAACACCAATAAGTAAGTGCATATAGGTGCATATATGCATCCAGAACTCACCATAAGGCATGTTAAGTCCTGTAGCAAGTGCTACCACGAGTACCAGACCATGGGAATCTCGTAGAAGTGACCGGGGCGGTACCAGAGCTTCTCACAGGTACTGGAGTATGTCTTCATCACATTCCCGCTCGCCTTGTAATCATCATGGATGGAGCCGAAGGCATAGGTCTCCCAGTTGTCGTCACAACGACTCATCCCCATCTACAAGTTGAGAAAGGTCAGCATCCAGGGATCAATGGTGCTCGGGACATGCCTCTTCGACTCTCACACATCATACAACACCAGCTTCCACTAATGATGGCACAGAGCATGAAATGAGAAATAATCATACCTCTGCACATGGTTGTTCAACTGTGCCAAGGGGGGGTAAGTCAGCCAGGAGACGAAGAGCAAGGGCTGTGGCAGAACCTGACAGAACAAGTCATGTTGAACTGCATGTTGGCGAATATGATGATGATGCAGAGGATGTGATTCAAAGTCAGAGTAAACTATCTGCAATCGGCAAAGAGGCATGAAGCAAGCTAAAGGCAAGTGCTTTGAGTAGCATCAAATATAGCGCAAACTCAACAATATTACCTAGCATTTGATCACCATGAAATTCTGTCACATTTGCAATGTTTCTGAAGGGAAAAGCTGGCCAGCATCAGCAGATGAAGCGTGCATCAATGAAATGACAGGTGAACATTACCTCATGCCGGAGTTCACCAAAACGGTAAACGACGACCACAACTGCATGATCTTTGCCAAGGTCGCAAGTTTGGTCTGGCAAGACCTTCAGGTAAGTCATATGCAACATGATATGTAATTGCCACTTCACCTTTTGCAGAACATGGCCAACAGTGACTGCCTTGTGAATTGCAAGGTAAAATGGAATAAGCAATCACTTTTCATATTTGTGAAGGAGATGTACCATGGATTCAAAGAAGACTGGTGGGCCCAGAATGACGCTGAGAAGAAAGCTGCCAAAGGTGTGAACAAGCGAAACAATAGATGTGCTCAACATTGCAAAGAAGTAAGTGTTAAAGCTACTTTTCATCAATATGAACACTTACTATGACGAATTAGAAAGCAGATTGGCTTATGACAGCATGTCAGGCTTACATCGAGAAATTCAGTGTTGATCCAGTGGACCTTGTGCATGCAGATCATATGTCGGATGAAGCATCTGGACCAGACGATGATGAGTTGGAGGATGATTGGAAGTGAAGGATGGTGGAGAAAATGGGAATGCCTGCCAACTCACAAGTCGAAAACTTGTCATTCCTGGAGGTTACAAGAAGTCCTTGGAGATCTGATGAAGTAAGTGTTATGCAGTCCTCAAATATGAGTAGAAGCTTACAGAAATCATTAGCTCGGTCAGATCTTTCATACCCTGCATGATCTTTGGCGAGCGTCACTGACCTCCAAGCAAAAGAAGTGCTTCTACATGATCTGAGTCACTGGTACAGATCATCAATCACAGCATTGTAGAAACAACAATACTGTGAGGCGCGAACGAGGCTCCTGACTGTATCTGTAAATGTTGTAAGGTTGCGCGTTGCCTAGTCTGCTATACTTGAGAAGACAAGTGCATTTGACCCTAAAGGGGAAGTGAGTGCAGCAAGGATCTAGAAGTGTGCGCTAAAGCGAAGCGCGAGAAAACGCAGGTGCACGCAAGGCACAAAGGCATGGGAATGCGCGCGCGTGATGTGCGAAGCGTGGGAAAGTGCGCGCAGGTATGCAGAAATGAGAGAGACTAAGCTTAAGTGATGATATGATGCAAGATAAGAGATGTGAGAGTGCAAGATGTAAACAAATAGATTTCTACTATGTTCTGCTAGGTAGATAGTGGGTGGAAGTTCAGTGGGAAGTCAAGTGGTCTAAGTGGTAAGGTAATGTCTCATGGTATGTACTGCTGGCGCTTATATATGGTACCTAAGCGCTGTCATGCGGAGCCGAAGCGCTACCAAAGTGCTACCGAGTAAGGTCTAGTATGTAAAGATATATATAAGTAAGGGTCCATGATAAAAATAAAGGTGGAATGATATGCAAATAAGGGAAACGGAAATACACGCACTAGAGAGCTTGGTGGACAGTGGATGGATGCTTCTGGATGGCTGGTGCTCAAGCATGGGAATGCGCGCGCATATACATCGTGAAGCATGGGAAGTGTGCGTGCATGGCGTGCATTGTGCAGGAAAGCTGCACCTCATATAGGGATAGCTGCGGATAGCACATAGAATGATGCTGCAAGTTTGTGCAATGTACTCCCTAGTGAAAACTGCCATATCAAGCAATGAGAGGCACGAGTCTCTACAGCGTATCCCTGATTTTACTTCCTATACCTTCGGCATCAACATAGAATGGCTCAAGGCCAACAAAGATACACTAGAGTATCAAGACTTACTCGGGGAATGGGGCACATGGGAGGATCCAGAAGGTTTCGGTTCGAAAAAAAGGGAGCACCAGGACAATCAAGACACTCCAGGCAATGAAATTGAGCAGGACACTGCTAGAGAGATGGAAGGATGATTGCATGGATGATGTTTTCTTGAGGACAGACCAGCTTATGAAATTCTGCTGGTGTTGGTCGTAGTATGATGCTAGAGCTAAACAGTAGGATGCTAAGTAGAGAAGAGTTGTCAATCATTGTATGATAGAGAACATTTTGCACGTACCCGGTCAAGTGTTGTTGTTATCCACAACTCTGGATTACTGGTCTTGATGATTCCACGAGCGATCTGGCTTGTAATTTGATCAAATGGAAGAACAGTAGGGGGAGCTCCATCTTCGCTGGGCTCCAGTATTTGTTTAGTTTAAAACACATAACATTGAGCTTGGGACTTGACAAAATGAGTAGGAGGGATAGAACCACAAATGAGACACATACAACTTGCTCCATGGAGCATCTTCAACGGGCACCAGCGGTAACTCTATCATCCACCTGAGTTCAGTGAGAAGCCGAGTTCTGTTTGCTATCCCTGACTGTATGTGACTGAAGATGTTGATTACTTCACCGTACCATGACTTATCCATGTATGCGACCTTGACAAGAGATGATCCAGCAGACTCTCCAGTGCTTCTTGCCAACAGTGAGATCCGACGTTCATCTAGAAGTGTGAACTGATAGTACAATGCAAAGTCATTGAGTTGAGATGAACCTGGACGGGGATTTGCTTCGAGTGCATAATGAACACTGTGGGGTTGTTGTGAGTTATAGTGAGTATATAATGCAACACGAGCTGCATCACTGAGTTGTTGTGGGTTTGGTATCAATGGACCAGGTTGGTCATGCAAATATGGACTCAATTCTAATGAGAAGTCAAAAATCAGCAAGTTTGTAAGAAAATGGATGATATGAAATGTACTGTCAAAGCCTGTCCCAGCGGCAGCATCCTGGATTGTTCCAGAGACCTTGTGGTCATCGCTGAGCATGCATTCTAGAAGCATCTTGACAATTGGACTTTCAGCATTTGCTATTGCATCATGAGCCTGAAAATCCTAGTGAGTGAAACATGATAGCAGGCAAAGAAATCACCAGAGAATCTATCTGAGCACCATGTGCAAACTCCCTCATCATTGAAATCTCAATCTGCCCCCCAGTCCAGTTGTTCAAGTTTGAACTCTTGAGGACTTTGTTGAGACGCTCAGAGAGAAAGGCCCAAAAGTTGTAGACTGGTCCATAGTCAAGGATCTGTTGCCTAAGATGAACTGCCCAATGAAAGTTCAGTTTCAGGGCGTTGTAGAGACTCATGCCTCTCATGGTGTGATATGGCGCGTTACACTAGGAGTACATAGCACAAACTTGCAGCATCACTCTGTGTGCTATCCACAGATATTCCACTATGAGGCGCAGCTTTCCCGTGCAACGCGCGCCATTCCCACGCTTCACGATGTATGCGCGCGCGTTCCCGCGCTTGAGTGCCCTATAGCACCAGCCATCCAGAAGCATCCATCCACTGTCCACCAAGCCCTCTAGTGCGTATATTTCCATTTCTTTTATTAGCATATCATTCCACCTCTATTTTTATAATGGACCCTTACTTATATATATCTTTACATACCTACTCGGTAGCGCTTCGGCTCCGCATGACCGCTGTAGAAACAACAATACTGAGTGGAACAAATGATGCTCCTGACAGTATCTATAAAAAGTTGTGAGGTCGCGCGTTGCCTAGTCTGCGTTACTTGAGGAGACAAGTGCGTTCGACCCTAGGGGAAGCGAATGCTGCGAAGATCTAGAGGTACGCGCTTCAGCGAAGCGCGAGAAAGCGCAGGTGCGCGCAAGGCGCGGGAACACACGCGCGTATTAGCGCGAAGCGCGAGAAAGTGCGCGTGCATATGCAGAAACAACAGAGAGGTTAGACTTAAGTGATGATATGATACTAGATAAGAGAAGAGAGATGCGAGGTGTAAACAGATAGAGTTCTACTATGTTCTGCTAAGTAGTAAGTAAGTAGTAATAAGTAAATGGGAGGTAAAGTAAGGTAAAGTGTAGTATGTACTGCTGGCGCTTATATAGCGCGCCTAAGCGCGGTCATGCGGAGCCGAAGCGCTACCGAGTAGGTATGTAAAAATATATATGAGTGAGAAACTATGATAAAAATAAAGGTGGAACTATGCTAATAAAGGAAATGGAAATATACGTACTAGGGAGCTTGGTGGACAGTGGATGGATGCATCTGAATGGCTGGTGCTATAGGGCGCGCAAGCGCGGGAACGCGCGCGCGCGTATACATCACGAAGCACGGGAATGGTGCGCGCATGGCGCGCGTTGCGTGGGAAAGCTGCGCCTCATATAGGAATTGCTGTGGACAGTACACAGAGTGGTGCTGCGAGTTGGTGCTGTATACTCCCTTAGTGGAAACTGCCATATCACGCCATGAGAGGCATGAGTCTCTACATCTCCCAGGGACTTTAAATTCTGAGTGTCCCCACTCAGCGCGCGTGTGGTGAGGATGTCGAGTGATAGTATGCGCATGCGATGCATGTACAATGCTTGGGTTGTTGGGCGATGAATGCGCGAGTGCAGGAATTATTGCGCGAGGTGCAAAGCGCGGGAAGGCGCAGGTGCACGTAAGGTGCGAAGGCGTGGGAAGTTGCGCGCATGGCGCGCGCGAGGCGCGAGAATGTGCGCGTGCATATGCACTGAAGGCGCAGGAATGAAGCGTAGCATGGTGGATTGTGAGGGTGACTTCTGGTGTGAATAGTGTTCCATGGGTGTGAGGTGATGATGCAAGGGTGATATGGATGTGGTGCGCGAAGCGTGAGCGAGACGCGCATGTACAGCGTGAAGCGCGGGAAAGCGCGCGCGCACAAGGCACGAGAAAGCGCATGAGTGTCGCGTGTTTTGTATTGTGCATATGATACGAAGTGGCGTGGTCCAAGAGCGATCCAATCCATGTCCAGACCAAGTCCTGCTAGGCGCGCTAAATATTAGGTGGTAAGGTTTGAACAGTGTGAGTAAAACTATATGTGAAAATGCGAAGGAAAAAATGGTAAACTTTGCGGATGTCCTATCCGACTTGTCTTCTTCGTGCGGCTGTCGACATCTACACCTTCCTATGAGCGAGGCGCGGGAAGCGCGCACGCGCGCGCATGAGGTGCATGGGCGCGGGAATATTGCGCGCCTATGCGCGCATTCTAAGGTAAAAAGGGCATGGTGCTGCGTCATGCGTGCGAAGAGAAAATATACTATTGAGCTAGGCGGGCACAATCTAAGGTTGTTTTGTTGTTTTTCTTCTATGTTCTTCTAGGTGCTTCCTATATGCATATATATCAGTGTGTTATTAGTCTTTTGGACGGTGTTATAATGAGAAAAAATGAGAATGAAAGAGCGCTGGACGAAACCCAGGGTAAAACGAATGATATCCTATGAACAGCGATGGTATATCTTTCTCTTTGGTGCGCCACTGAAGCGCACGATCCTCCTCCTTGAGTGCGTGCGAGTGCACGTGACTAGCGCGCTTCGCATCTCTTGCAAGCTGATGCTTTACTCAAGGTAGGGTTGGAATGAGCGAGGCTGGCGCGCTTGGGGGGGGCTTGTAACTGGCAGAATGAATTCCTGCACAACGCGCTGCAGGTTGAAGGCACGCCAATGGGGGGCGCTGCAAGGGGTGTAGGGGCGCCCTACAAGCTGATAGGATGCGCGCGATGTGCGCGCCTTGGTGCGATTTCGCGCGAATTTAATTATATTGGCCGAACACGCGAGGAACGGCCATTTCTCTGCAAATGCATTAGCGAGAGACATGTATAGCGAAGAATTAGGCGCAAATGTTGCGCCAATGGGCTGTAAGGGTGATATATCAAGGCGCAGTAGGCGCATAGGTGAAGGAGAATAGTGCGCATCAAGGCGCGCAGGAACGAAATTGACATGGTAAGCAAGAGCGCGAAGAATGCGAATAAATGTGGAAATTGCGAAGTTAAAGATGATGATAGGGGGGTTAGGCGCATATGTATGTGTAAGGCGTGCGCCTAAGTCGCGCCTGGATGACTGATTGTAATATACCTTGTGTTGAATGTAGGAAATGCAATTTAAAAGGGGGGAAATGATAGAAATGCGATGGTGAGGAAACTCTGCTAAAATTATGAAGGTGCGAGGCGCGGGAACGCGCGCGCGTATTGCGCGATGCGCGTGATCATGGCGCGTGAACAAGGGGTGGTGCGAAGATGAATTTAAAGTGTATGGAAGCATCATATAGCTCCTTAAGAGCTTTAAACATGAAAAAGACAAAAAGTGCGAAATGAGATGAGGGTAAATATACAATGCCTCTAGGCGCGCGCATTGTGCGTCCTCAGGTGCAATATGGTGCGCCTGAGTTGCGCCAGGGTCGCCTGAGACATGCTCTGCTTGGTGGTTGTGCAGCGTGATGCACGGATGTTTTACTGGTGCGTGATAGTCACTGGAAGCAAAAAGCGCGACATGCGCGCAATCATTAGTGACAATTGGAGTTACCAGAGGCAAACTCTGGTTGATGCAAGGTGCAACTTGAGCCTCTGATGCGGCAGGAGGCTCCTCTATAGGCGCGCTAAGGTGCAATAGATGTTTAGGGTCATCCCTGACCTCTGATGATGCGAGTGGCGATAGCAGTGATGGCGATGGTGCGATTGGCGAGGTTTCTTCCTTAAGCGATGCGATAGGCGGGCGCGTTTCAAGTGATGGCGTAATAACGTCCACAATGGGCGCGTTACTGTGCAATAGATATTTAGAGTCATCCCTGACTTCTGGCAAGGTGATAGCGATAGGCGCGCGTGTTTCAACTGGCGCGTTAGTGTGCAATAGATGTTTAGAGTCATCCCTGACTTCTGGCGCGATTGATGGTGATGGTGATGATGCGGATTGTGAAGGAGATGGTGCTGCTGAGGATGATGGTGAAGAGGCGCCTGCGGTGCGCTTCTGATTGCGCTTAGCAAGCGCGCGCTCGAGTTTGTGATCTAAAGTGGTGCGTTCTGGTATGGCTTTGCATGCTGGTACAGTTAATGGTTGAGGTGCGCGTGAATCGCGCGAAGGCGCGGGAAAGGCGCGCGTGCGAGGCGCGAGAATTGGAACTGGTGGCCTTTTGTTAAGTGCAACTTCCGAGGGTGCGTGATAGAAGAGTCCAGCTGTCGCATTAGTGCTAATGGTCGTATCTGGCATGCTTGGCGCTACCATGGGTGCGCTAACTGGTGCGCTTACTGGTGCGCTTGGCGCGGGAAAAGCGCGCCCAGATAGTAGGAACTGCGCAGCTGCAAAGACGTCCATGAATGGGTATGGGTCATATGGATGGTGGTCAGGGAACTTGATCATAAGGCGCAAGCGGATTTGCGCCTGAGCATCGCTAGGGATTCCTTCCATGAATAAGCAGTCACGTTCAGCCTTTCCAATGCGGTCTTCATCCATGAGTGGCTGCATGACCTTCCTGAATGTGCGCAAGTAACTGCTTAGTTCTGCGCAAGAGAGCTTTGGTTTGTTAGCATATTTGCGCGCGATGGCGCGCAAGTCCGCGAGCGCGTTGTAGAAACAACAATACTGAGAGGAACAAAGAAATGCTCCTGACTGTATCTAAAAAGTTGTAGGTCGTGCGTTGCCTAGTCTGCGATACTTGAGATGGCAAGTGCATTCGACCCTAAAGGGTAGTGGTGCCGAAGTCCGGTTCGGTTCGGTTCTTAGGCCTCTAAATGCGAACGCCGAACTGGACCATCGGTCGCGTTCAGGCAAGGAGGGCGAACGCTGGACCGGACCCTTATGAACGCGTTCACAAGCATTCGGTTCAAGTTCAGAACGCGTTCGAACGCTCGAACGCTACATATAATTTGACAAAAATTGCAAGAAATACATGAACCGTAAATGAGTAGCTAAATTTCGTCCATGGCATAGTGTTCGTGAGCAGCAGCAAACTCAGCTTGAACCGTTGCAGAAATGTGGCCTTGACGGTACCCACTCTTCAATAACTGAAGGGCCTCGAATGTTGTTGGCAACAAACGATTACGGCGCGCAGTCCCAGTGATGCCGCCACTCGAAAAGGCTCGTTCAGATGCAACGGCAGAGCCTTGAATAGCGAGGTAATCCTTTGCAATGCGTGAGATGGTGGGATATTGAACGGAATGGTGCTAAAGGCATAATGAGTCAACTTGCAAGGAAATGCGATGCGAAAAAACTCACACCCCACCACGCCACTATATTCTCAACATCCTCTAATGGGGCAGCAAGGTAGTCGTCAAGCTCCTGGCGAGGTCTTCGATTTGCGGTGTCATTTGCGACACGAGTTTTGACAGCATCGCGCA